CACAACCCAGGTCCCCACGTCACTCAGCACAGCCAGGACATCACCAGTCCACGTGACACAACCTTCCTCCACACCACACCGGGAATCCACATCTTCCCTTTCACCCACTGTCACCTCCCACCCCACCAGTACAGAAACCCATACCACGATGGCCCATACCACATCTTCCATACCCACCAGGGCCAGCACTCCATTCTCGACTCACACACCTTCCACGCTCTCAGTCTCCCACACTCCACACACCACAGGCTCCACCTCAGGAACATCCCTCAAGACCACCACCAACTTTCCAACAACTTCCAGATCACAGACCTCATCTCCCACTGTATCTCCAACACTCACAACAGCCGTAGTATCACCCACCTCCCAGAGGACACCGCCCAGCACACACACAGTCTCCTCTGCATCCACCATGAGGCCAACTAGTACCACACAGTCAACCACCATGGTGACTACAGCCACACACTCCACTCCACCCATAACTATGACCACCAGTGCCACAACCCAGGTCCCCACGTCACTCAGCACAGCCAGGACATCACCAGTCCACGTCACACAACCTTCCTCCACACCACACCGGGAATCCACATCTTCCCTTTCACCCACTGTCACCTCCCACCCCACCAGTACAGAAACCCATACCACGATGGCCCATACCACATCTTCCATACCCACCAGGGCCAGCACTCCATTCTCGACTCACACACCTTCCACGCTCTCAGTCTCCCACACTCCACACACCACAGGCTCCACCTCAGGAACATCCCTCAAGACCACCACCAACTTTCCAACAACTTCCAGATCACAGACCTCATCTCCCACTGTATCTCCAACACTCACAACAGCCGTAGTATCACCCACCTCCCAGAGGACACCGCCCAGCACACACACAGTCTCCTCTGCATCCACCATGAGGCCAACTAGTACCACACAGTCAACCACCATGGTGACTACAGCCACACACTCCACTCCACCCATAACTATGACCACCAGTGCCACAACTCAGGTCCCCACGTCACTCAGCACAGCCAGGACATCACCAGTCCACGTCACACAACCTTCCTCCACACCACACCGGGAATCCACATCTTCCCTTTCACCCACTGTCACCTCCCACCCCACCAGTACAGAAACCCATACCACGATGGCCCATACCACATCTTCCACACCCACCAGGGCCAGCACTCCATTCTCGACTCACACACCTTCCACGCTCTCAGTCTCCCACGCTCCACACACCACAGGCTCCACCTCAGGAACATCCCTCAAGACCACCACCAACTTTCCAACCACTTCCGGAACACAGACCCCATCTCCCAGTATATCTCCGACACTCACAACAGCCGTGGTATCACCCACCTCGCAGAGGACACCGCCCAGCACACACACAGTCTCCTCTGCTTCCACCATGAGGACAACTGGTACCAAACAACCAGCCTCCATGAATACTAAAACCACACCCTCCACTCCACCAATAACCATGACCACCAGTGCCACCAGCCAGGTCCCCACGTCACTCAGCACAGCCAGGACATCACCAATACACGTGACACAACCTTCCTCCACACCACACCGGGAATCCACATTTTCCCTATCACCCACCATCATCTCCTACCCCACCAGTACAGAAACCCATACCACTTCTTCCACACTCACCAGGGCCAGCACTCCAGTCTCTACTCACACACCTTCCACGCTCTCAGTCTCCCACACGCTGCACACCACAGGCTCCACCTCAGAAACATCCCTCAAGACCACCACCAACTTTCCAACAACTTCCAGAACACAGACCCCATCTCCCAGTATATCTCCGACACTCACAACAGCCGTGGTATCACCCACCTCGCAGAGGACACCGCCCAGCACACACACAGTCTCCTCTGCTTCCACCATGAGGACAACTGGTACCAAACAACCAGCCTCCATGAATACTAAAACCACACCCTCCACTCCACCAATAACCATGACCACCAGTGCCACCAGCCAGGTCCCCACGTCACTCAGCACAGCCAGGACATCACCAATACACGTGACACAACCTTCCTCCACACCACACCGGGAATCCACATTTTCCCTATCACCCACCATCATCTCCTACCCCACCAGTACAGAAACCCATACCACTTCTTCCACACTCACCAGGGCCAGCACTCCAGTCTCTACTCACACACCTTCCACGCTCTCAGTCTCCCACACGCTGCACACCACAGGCTCCACCTCAGAAACATCCCTCAAGACCACCACCAACTTTCCAACAACTTCCAGAACACAGACCCCATCTCCCAGTGCATCTCCGACACTCACAACAGCCGTGGTATCACCCACCTCGCAGAGGACACCGCCCAGCACACACACAGTCTCCTCTGCATCCACTGTGAGGCCAACTGGTACCACACAGCCAGCCTCCATGGTGACTACAACCACACACTCCACTGCACCCACAACCATGACCACCAGTGCCACTACCCAGGTCCCCACGTCACTCAGCACAGCCAGGACATCACCAGTCCATGCGACACGACCTTCCCTTTCAGCCACTGTCACCTCCCACCCCACCGGTACGGAAACCCATACACAGGCCCACACTACGGCTGGCATCAGCAGCAGTGCCCCCACTGCAGTCTCTACACGTCTGCCTTCCACGCTCTCAGTCTCGCACACTCCACATAACACAATCCCCATGTCAGGAACATCCCTCATGACCATCAGTAACTTTCCAAGCACACCTCATCCCCAGACCACACGTAGTGAGACCCCAGCAGTAACCATGACCTTGGTTTCCCCAACTTCTCACAGTCCCAGTACCCCAACCAGTCCACCCACATTCTCTTCTGTGTCCCCTACTAATACTCTGCCAGCCACGATGGTCATCAGTACTGGCATTTCACACTCATCCCCTAGGCTGACCCCAATCACCACGGCTACCACCCACATGCACACATCCTCCTTTGTCAGTAGCCTTCCCTCCTCTAGGCCCCTCAGCTCCAGTTTCCATCCCTTCCCATCATCTCTTGCAACCCCACAGACTCCATACCCTGGCCCTTCAAGCACTTCTGTTCCCCCTACCGATTTTCCATATTCCTCTACCCTTCCCCCAGAAACCTCACCCCCCTTCCGTACCCCTCCCTCATCCACCTCCCCATCTCCCTGTACCTCCTCGTGCTCCACGCCACCCTCATCCTCTCCTGGGGCTGCTCCTCAGTCCCTTCTCACTACCAGCACGGCCCCTCCTTCCCCATTTCCCACAGGATCCACATCATCATCCCTTTCCGTGTCTCTTTCTCCCCTTCCTTCTCCTCTGCCTCCCTCCATCTTGCCATCTATCACGTTGCCTGTCCTCTCTCCCCTGTCCACCACATCCACTGTGCACATGTCCCCTTCCCCAGCCTCCAGCACAGCATCTCTGTCCACGTCCAGGACCACATCCCAGGTCGCCATGCCCTCCACTCTCTCCTCTCAGGCCACCACTTCCCAGGTTACCCTTCTTACCACCACGCCCCCTGTGTCTGGCCCAATGTCCTCAACCTTGGGGACAATATCCTCCCCACACTCTCCATCCACCAACCTCACCACCAGGCACCCTGGGCCCACCCAGCTGCCCACATCCACACTCCTGTCCAGCCCAGCTGCTTCACATACATCCTCGTCCACCACCCTGGAACTTCTGTCCACCCTCAGCCCCCGGGTATCCTCTCTGGTGACAGCTCCCACAGTTTCTTCAGGTGAGTGGTGTCCTCCTAGCTCTGGAGAGCACTGCACCATCTCATCCCAGGGGCTCTAACTCTTCTTGTCCCTCTGGGCCTGCACTCTCCCTGCTGCAGCCTGTTTGTCCTCTCCTGAGCCCAGCTCAGGCCAGCTGAGCTCCAGTCCACAGGAGTGCCTGCTCTGCCCAGCCTCGGCACCTGGGCCTCACTCCCGGTTCTCTCCTGCCCTTGACCTCAATCCTGCAGTCATGACCCCTGCTGGCACTACCACCTCCCCCAAGAAGCCTTGCCCACTGGGCCCATGGGGCGCTCAGAGCACCGGAGGGCCCCCAGGCTCAAGGAGTGTCATTTTCCTCTGGAGGTGAGAGGACAGGACAGCAGGTGTTAGGTGCGGGCTCAGCACAGGCGTCACAGCCCTCCCCAGTGAGCACTCACTGTAGGTTGCAGCTCCTGCCTGCCCTGTCTAGTATTCCTTGGGGCTGCGCTCCCCTCAGCACCCTGGGCTTCCCCTGGTGCCATCAGGGCAGAGGGCTTGTCACTGCTGGAGATGAGAGCTGGGGAGCAGGCTGTTTCCTAAGGAAGTAACCTTGGGGAGTCGGCTAGAATAGGAGCCCAAGGGGACAGGGGGCCTCCCTCAATACCTGTTCCCTCCCCACCCTTTGTAGAAGGGCAGGGTGAACCCCCGTCAGAGAGACACACAGAACAGAATATCATTTCTGCTCCAGGATCTTTTAACTTTTCATTACTGGTTAATAAATTTAATTTTGAAGAACTAGGGATTGAAAACAGGGCCCGAGCTACATCCTCAGCCCTTTTAAGAGAGGGTTTCACTAAATTGCCCAGGCTGGTTTTGCACTTAACATTCTCCTGCCTTAGCCTCCGAGTGCTGGGATTATAGGTGTGAACCTCCATGCTCAGCCTTTGCTTCACCTTTTTAACCCAAGTTCCACACTGGCATCTGCCAGGCCAACAGTGCTGTCCCCAATGTCCAGTAACCCTGTGCTGAGCTGCTATGTGCTGAGTGGGTCCTGGTCCCCACCTTGCCCTTCCAGGAGCACAGCGCCAAGAAGCTCCCTCTCCCTTTTCCCCAGCTGGGCAGCAAGGAGTCCTCACCGCCATCAGCCTCTCTCAGGATGTGGATGTCCTCTCCTTCCCCCTCACTAGGTCCTACATGCAGCAGGCTTTGGTTCCCTGGGCCTTGCGCCCTGCAGGGCCGGGGTCTGTGTCTGGCTGGGCAGTGGGCATCCCCCTCCTCACCATCTGGGGTCTACCCTGCCACCTAACTCTGCCCCTCAGCCCCAGAGCTGTGCAGTGTGCGGGAGCAGGAGCAGGAGATCACCCACCAGGGCTGCACCGCCAACGTGACCCTGACCCACTGTGAAGGCACCTGTGCCTCCTCCACCAGGTGAGCTGAGTGGCCTAGCAGTCCTAGCTGCCACACCACACTCAGCCATGCTGGCCTGCCCCACATCTGGGCAGCGGTCAGTAGGAACCAGCCCTGGGCTCCCTGGGCCATCTCACCTGCCCTCTCTATTCTTGGTAGCTTCAACATCACCACTCAGCAGCTGGACGTCCACTGTAGCTGCTGCTGGCCCCTCAGCTCCTACATGCAGGAACTCCTGCTGCCCTGTCAAGACCCCAGCGCACCCAGCCAGCTGCTCACGCTCACCGTGCAGGTGGTCCACAGCTGTGTGTGTGCACACCAGCGCTGTGGAGACTAGAGGCACAGGGTCACGGGTCAAAGGACAAGGGAAGGTATCCCTGCCCACACCACTCTGGCCCCCTTCCTGGTCCCAGGTGAGGCCTCAAGATCCAGAGCAGAGACCAGGAAAGGGAGACAGAGCTGGTCGGGTAGTGTGGGCACCTGTGCAGGGTGAGCACCAGATACAGAAAAGACCAGCACGACAGGAGATGCAAGATGCCTTTTGCCCACAGGACCTGCACCTTCCAAGGAAGCTACTGCTGCCAACAAGCAGATTCCAAATAAACTGGCTCTTATGAGGCAGAGGTCTGTGAGCACTGCTGTCACCGCCACCAGAACTGTCCCCGGGGGCTGGATGGGAAAGGAGGCCACCTCTGGCCTTGGGACCTGCTGAAGTCCACAATCATGAGGCCCTCCCCAACCCTCCATGGTCACTCAGGCCCAGCTGAGCACGGTGCCCTGGGGAAGGAAGCCCTGGGCTCTGTCCTGTGCACTAGGACTAGAAGCCTTCAGAGCGCAATGCAGCTAGTGAGTCGAAGCCAAGCATGCACCACAGCAGGCAGCCTAGGGGACACTGGGAAGCCTGGCCAGGCTCCATGCCCAGAGTCAGCCTTGGAGACATCAGTCAACGCAGCCACACCCAGTCAGGCCAGGAACACCAGGGAGCCCCAGCCAGGCCTGGGGACATCAGGGAGGCCCAGAGTCGGGTCAGGGGACACCAGGAAGCCTGGGCCAGGGACAGAGTCACACTGGTGGAGCAAAGGCACATCAGTTCCTGAGCCCCAACGTACATGCATCCACTGTGTGCTGCAGGATAGGCCAGGTGGGTAGCACTGCATGACACCCACAGAGTGGACCTGAGAGCTTCACAGGACGCTCCCCGCAAAGACTGCACGCACACTCCAGGCTCTGCTCTAGTGTTTATTTTCTTCTGGAGAGGAGCACACTGCAGAATGATACCCCACATGCGCAGAGGGCAGGGCTGGGCCCCAGCAGCAGCCCCTGAAGTCCTGGGGCACTTTCTGATCCAAGACCACCCAGGGGTGAGCCACAGCCACAAAGGCATAGGGCGTCAGACCCAACTCCACACACACAGAGGGTCAGGATGGAAGACTGCATACTCTGAAGCCAACAGCATAGGATCCACAGTGTGGGGCTTCGGGAACCTTGAGCAGTGTCCCGAGGATGGGGCCAGGAGCCGCTGGTGTGGGTGGCCACACCTGTGCCTAGAGAACCAGAGCTGACAGTGTCCGGCACAGAGTGTGCTCAGGATGACGCTGCCCAGCCTCACCTGCATGGAGCCCAGGCCTAGGCGCACCTCTGGACACTGCACAGGCCAGTGGTGGTTCCTGAGGCCACTTCACCCCACCCTATACTCCCGCCACGCACAAGGATGACTGTGAGACCAAAGTGCGTGGGCTGACAGGCTCCAGCGCACCCGCAGCACGCCCCTCAGGGCTGCTGCCTCATCTGGCCTTGTCACTTCCTGCCCAGACTCAGCTTCCCTCCTCCACCCTACTCGAGCTGGGGCTGCACAGGTGTGGGTCTGCAGCACTCAGGCCTGTGACCAACACCAGGGGGCCAGGGAACATCATGCTGATGCGCAAAGGACCACCAGCAAGGAGCCACAAGCATCCCTCAAGGACATCTCTACACCTGCATGACACAGATAGTACACCATAGGAACAGCACTCTCACTCGAAGGCCAAAAAGGGGCCATGTCCACATCCTCCAGAGCCACGTGGAGCCCCCCACCCTTCAAAATGCAAGTTTACTCGTAACGGTAAAAACATCACAAACAGCCTTCAAGAAGACTGTGCTGGAAATGGCCATGTCGATGGAGCAGACACGTGGTTTTGCCAAAAGTCACTAAAATACAAATGTTTCCAACTCCTAGGTTTAAAATCCTGCCCCAGAAAGCGTCCAGTGGTGCCACACCTGGCCACAAGAACACACCGTCCAGCCCAGGGCTGGTCCCACACCTCCAGCTCCTGGGACCAGGGAAGGGACAGTGGTACTCAATAAAACCTCAACAAAACTCCCACTTTCATTCAAACTTCTAATTTCCCTTTAATTTGTAGACTGAACCACAGGCTGCCTCAATTTCTCGGATCCAGGTCCCCACTTGGAGAGGCAGGCCTGCTGTGGTCCCTGTCAATGGCCCCTTTGTGTCCCATCCACACCCCGGGCCCAGGCTGGAGGCGCAGGTGCAGGCTCCGGTGCTGAGATGCTCACACAACAGTGCTATGTGCAGTGTGGTCACCAAGACAGTGGCAGAGACAAAGGGAAACAACACACACAACGCAACTGCCTGCACAGGGTTAAAACTGCTCTGACAGTAAGTCACACAGCCTCTGGGAAACGGTGTCCTTGCTTGTGCGCAGTGTGAGCCGGTACATCTGCAACAGAGAGTGAAGTCAGCAAGGCCCAGCTGCCACATGCGCCTCCCAGGCAGCTGCCACCCCCAGCCCACCACGCCTGGAGGCTGCCACCATTATGTGGCCAGGAGGGACAGGAACATCTGGAAGCAGCGTGGGCTCAGATAGTGGACACCCCAATGTGGAAAACACTCTGGCAGCTTCTTAGAAAGCCAACCATGGACCTGTCCTGAGGATGGATGCATGGTGCGCCCCAGTGCAGGACACTGGCTGGAGCATGTGGCCTGCACGAGGCCAAGGTTAAGTGGCTGGGCAGGAAGCTGTACCGTGGCAGCACACAGGCCCTTCCTGAGGAGGGAGCATGGCATGTGTGACAGGGCCATGGCCACAGAAGCATACACACCATTGGCACTGAACAAGCCACACTTAGGATCCCCACCCTGCACAAATCAGGCAGCAGCAGGACTGCATAAGCCTTTCTGCTTCCTCCAGGTGTCTGACCTGAGCTTGCAGATTTGGCTCCAAACGCAACAAGCATCCAATCTGGGTGGTTTTGGTGTGGATGATGCCAGCGCCCACAAAGTTTGCAGGGTTAGGATCGACTTCTTCAAGGAGTGCTGACCCAAATCCGATGATCTATCCAAAATAAGTTGGAACCAGGATGTGTGCTAATCCACAGCATGCCTGCCTCAGTGCCACCACAGTGCCCGTGATAACACCCGCATGGCCACTCACCTTTGCCTTGGTGATCTCTGTATCCATCGGGTGCTTTGCTTTGAAGATGTTCTGCACTTCCTGCTGAGGACTACAAGCAACAGCACAGGGTTGGTGTCTGGCCACACCAGCCACAAGGACTGCCCTGTGCTATGGTGCCTGTGCCCCACCACCTGTGCAGCCCTCTCACCTGCTCAGCTGCTTCCAGCGCTGGAAGAAGTCCTGAGATGCCATCTCCGTGGGCTGGAAGAACTTGTTCAGTGTGATGGGCAGCTTGACCGACACATTCTGGAAGGTGCCACCATACCTACAGAGAATGCCACACTGGCAGAGGGAAGGGCAGCCAGAGACCCCGTGGAGGGAAAGGCGGCTCCCAGTGTGAGTCTGTCCAGTGGCAGAGCCAGAAATGTCCAGGGGACCAAGAGTGTCCTCCACGCACCCCACCAAATGCAGTCGCAGTCAGGCAAGGCTGGGGCTGCACTGCTGTGCCAAAGCTGGGAGGACAAGTGCCTCTCCTAGCCAGGCTCCCCACCATAGGTGAGGACCGAGAAGGCCAACAGGAAACCACAGCTCCCGCCACCACCTCCTGTTCCCATAGGTCAGTTTCCCAGAGCTAAGTCTGTCTAAAATCCAAGTGAGTTTCTTCCCCCACAATAAGAATGAAAAAGTATTTGCTAGGTCCACTGTTTTAACACCTGACAATGTGCTTTCCCAAACATTTACACCTCAGGGTTCCCAACACCCACCGTGCCGTGCTCACTGTCATAGGAGTGGCTGGGCGGTTGTGTTGAGGCCCCAGCCACTCCAAGGGCCAGCAAACCCAGCAGTGCCACGTAGGACCCAGGGTCCACCCTGGCCTTAAGCACCCAGCCCACCAGCCACACAGAGCAACCAGGGCCCTATGGGCCCCTCCTGCCTCACACTCTGAACACTGTGGACAACAGCAGCCTATGCCATATACATGCCCATATGGCACCACTGTGGCCCCCACTCATGCCAGGGAGGCTCACCTGAACTGGATGTTGAGGACTGGTGCCTCCATGAAGTCGGACACACACTCGATGTTGACCACCTGCTGCACCTGTGCACCTCCGTCCACAGTTGGGTCCACGGGCTTGGTCTGCAGGTTCAGATGTGGGTGCATTAAGGAGTCCAGCTCAGCCAGGGAGAGTGAGACAGCAGCAGCCCGCGATGCAGCAACGCAGGTCCACACTACGCCCTGCCAGGACGGCTGCATAATGCAGCCCTCAGCCCTCTGCTCTGTCCTGCAGCCCACAGGCACCAAACCTAACCCTGCTGCTGGGCCTGGCTTCCCGGAGGCTGGCCGCTGTGGCCTAAGTGAGGACGTGCCTACATTCGCTGCCTCCATAAACGACTGAGTTACACGGCACTGAGCCTCTGCTGGGGGGCTTGCTCCCAATTGCAGTGAGCATGCAGTACAGGGCTTCCCCACAGCCACTCTGAAAAATGAGCCACAGCAGTAGGGCAAGTGGCTCACACTTGTGTCATCCCATCACTTGGGAGGCTGAGGCAGGACGATTACATGAATGCAAGGCCACTACATAACCAAACTCTGCCTCAGAAAGGGTGCGGGGAGGAAAGAAAGAAAACAGAACAGAAGTGGGAAAAAGAGGAACCACCTGTGTATGTAATTAAGACTGGATTTGGGAGTCAGGCAGAGAACAGCTGCTCTGCCCTCTGGACCCAGCACCCATGAGCCACAAAGCACAGGGGCCAGGGTGCCCATGTTCCCAGAAACCCAGGAAGGGGATGCTCCGAGGCGACTGGGGGTGCCACACTGAGCTCCTGACAGTGGACAGAGCCTTTAACACATAACCTGTGCCCGCCTGCTGTCTCAAAGGTCCACTGTGAGAACATGTTCTCCACAACATGGGACACAGATCTGCCTGTGAGAAATTCACTGCTCCACACAACTGACTGTGGGCCCACAGGAAGTGTCATCTCCCTGGCCAGAGTCCTCACCACCGCACAGTGCAGCTGTGCCTGGGAAGCAGCCACTGGCAGGGACTGGGGGTGCTCTTCCCCTCTGAGCTGGGGCCTCTAGCATACCCTCAGAGACTAAAGGAGCGGCAGCACCCCAATGTGAACACAGCAAACATCAGCCCACCCAGACCTCGCGCTCGCCCAGATAGCACCACGCACCCCAGGAGCTTTCGGCAAAAGCAGCCACACCAGCAGGACTTCTCAGGAAGGGAGCCGGTGGGGCTCCAGATAACAAATAACATCCGGGAGAACAAAAGGAGCAGAGAGGAAGTGGCTCATGTCATTAAGTGAAGGCAACACACATGTGGACTATGCTGGAGCTGTCACCAAAGCCAGCTCCCAGGTAGGGGCAGCACTCGACTGCCAGGGTACCTGGGAAAGTCCTGCCCCTCTGACAAACCAGCCTCCCTCCAAGTACTGGGTCACAGTCTACCCCATGTTTGTCCATCTGTCTGGGGGCAGAGCCAAGGATATTTGCCTGAAGGTCATCTGCACAGATTAGCGTTGGAGTGAAGTTTAGGAACTGCGTGGAGGTCTTGTTACCATAAAATATGAACATTCGGCCTAGAAGGAAACAGAACAACTCATTTCACACACTGCACACTCATGCTGAACATTCACATGAGCACAGTGTCCCCTGCACCCCAGCACTTAACTGTCACAACCTATGACTGCTGTTAAATTAAAAGTAAGCTTTTTGTAGTCTTACAGTGTGTTGATGCTGGACCTGGGGGAGGCCCATCCCAGGCCTCCTTCCACATATGGGGCCATACTGGGCACTGACTGGCACCACAGACTGCACCAGGTCCCACTGGCCCTGTGCCAGGGTCCTGCAAGACCTGTGTCCACCAGCCGGCCCAGAACCAGCACTGCCCAGGTGTAGACCGGCCTCACGTGGACTGCCACCAGCCCTGTGCCAGGCACACAGGGAGGGCCCACTGCTGCATGACAGGTATGAATGGATCTGTTGACCCTCCAAGTGCAGAAGGGAAGGGGAATGAGGGGTCTGGAAAACACAGCACTTTGGCATCGCTCCTGCACAATCCAAACAGCAAGCCCAGCCCAGGGAGGCCAGGATGCCCCAGCAGAGGCATGGTCAAGCCAGGCACAGTAGGCAGGCTGCATGACATGTGGCTCTGAGTCCTCATGTCCTCCCCAGGCTATGGGGGCCACTGTGGTGGTGGTTAGTGGTTGGGAGGGTTTAACTTCTTTCTGAACTCAAGAACGATTTTCCTTTTTGTTGTTAACTGTGGCAAATGACATATAACCTGAAATGTCCCAAGCTACTGTGTTTAACTGCAGAGCCAGGCAACTGAGCCCAGATGCACTATGTAGCACCCACCCACCTCCAGGGCTCCCTCATCTGTGCCAGGTCACACACTGCCCAACTCGGCCCGTGCTATCCTCTGTGGACCTGACGCCACTGGACCCTTCTGTGCCTGAGTCATGCAGGACCTACCCTTTGTGTCCGGCTTCCTTCACTGAGCATGGCGTCCGTGAGGCCCGCCATGCTGTTTCCCACATCTACCACATTTACCCATCACCCACTGACAGATGCTGGCCTGCATCCTCCCCAGGAACACACCTCTTCCAACCTGAACGTCTCTCCAGGCCCCACTTTCAGCTCCACCGGGTCCGCACCTCAAGCGGGGCCGCTGGATCTTGTGGCATTTCTAACCTTTTGAGGAACTGCCCACCTGTTCTCCACAGCAGCCTCCACACCTTCCACCCGCCACTCCGACAGTGTGATAGGACTCCAGCCGCCCGTACCCACCAGCACCTGGTCTGTGGGATGCTAGACAGCGCTGTGCCCATGGTGTGAAAGATATGTGTGTGCTTGCTGACACCAGACTCACATCATGGGGATTCGTCTGCCCAAGCCCACCCTGTGCCTGCACTTCGCACTGGCTGGCTGTGCTCCTGGCCCAGCAGTGCACAGGAGTCCCTCACAAGCCCCAGCTGTGCACATCCTGTAGTACATGACTGCAAATGTCCCATGACCTCTAGGAGCATTCACTAAGTAATCAAAACACATACCTAGATTCTGCCGAAACTCAGACTTAAGTCCAATTTGAAGCAGCTGGTTTTCAAACAACACACCGTTATTTTTACAAACAAACCTAGGGAAAAGGGATAGTGTGTATGTCACCCAAGGCCACCCACTGAAGTACCAGGATTTGCTCTGGAGAAGCATCTGGAGCGCACTGAGGAGGAACCATGCTGGGGAGACAGTGAAGGGCAGAGGACATCACTCCGAAGACCCCAGGCAGGAGATAAGCATGAAAGGACACACTCACACATCGGCAGGCCAAGCTGCCAGGGTGAGAAGGTGCCCACACACCAGGTCTGGCATGGAGGCCAGCTGGGCGGCACATCCTGAGGAGGACTCCACAGCAGGTGCCCAGGGAGTGTACGAGCACACATGCCCCCAGCTAGCACCACCAACTGCCACCCTCCAACATGGCACCCAGGGCAGTGAGGCCACCCAGCGCCAGGGTCAGCACAGACACGCTTGGGTCACTTACTGGCTCGGACTGAGGCATCTCAAATCATGGCTGCACCCCAGCCTGAGAGAAGGCCCTGCCTGGTGGGCTACTCCCCAAAGGGCACATCAACCAGCCCACAAGTACTCTCTCAGGTGGGCCACCTCTGTGACTACCGGCCATGCTAGTCAGCCAGGACATCCCCATGCTAAACACATGCCAGCAATGGCCCTCTGCCCCATATACCAGTGCACAATGGGGCCCTGGGGAGGGGTCCAGCCACTGAGACAGCTTCCAGTCCAATGGGCAGGGCTGCATGTTAGCCAAGAGCCAGGGTACAAGCTGAGCCTGGTGCTGCATGCCTGTATACCCAGGACTAAGGAGGCTGAGGCAAGAGGATCCCAAGTTAAGCCCAGCCCAGGCAATTTAGTGACTAAATAAGACCTTATTTCAAAATTTAAAATTTTTTAAAGGCTGGGATATTACTCAGTGCAAAGGCCCTGGGTTCAATCATTTCTAGTATCACACACAAGAAAACAAAAACAAGGGCACATCAGATTTGCGAAGCAACTTCCCAAAGACAGAGTGGGTGCTGGAGGCTGATACCAGCAGAAACAGCCTCCAGGCCATGAGAACGCCACCCTGGCCCCTTCTTCCACCACCCCATCTCCCAAGGACCCCAGCTCTTGTGAGGTCCCTTGGCAAGCTTTCCAAACGCCCCTCAAGTCCAGATCCATCCCTGGCAGCTCTCAAAGACCAGCGAGGTGACAATACTTGGGGCCAAGGCCACACTGGATGTGACTCTCGGGGAAGCTGGCTACCTGGCAAAGTTGTCTTCAGAGCCAGGAGCGAGAGGTGCCACAGCCGATGCGGAGTCAGAGAAGACGTCCACCAGCAGTCCGCCGGCCGAGGGTGGGGGCCCCGTGGGGACTGGGGGTGCCGCCCCCAAACCCAGCAGGTCAGCAGATGGAGAAGGCGTGGACTGTAAAAGATGGAGCAAGCATGTCAGTGCCAGGCAATGAGGTGCCTGGGTCACCCACTGTGTCCACCCCACGAGCTGCGGGTGCCCCTGCGGGGTGAGTCCACCAGGCTCAAGTGAGGATGGGACAAAACGGCCACAGCAGCCACACACAACAGGAGATGGCGGCGGCTGCTGAAAGCATCATGTGAGTGAAAAATCACTCTGGAAGTTTCTGCCACCAAAGAGACTGCTCAGAAAGAAAGTTGAATATGATAAAGTGAGCAGAGAACTTTGATGACTCGTTCTTAGCTTAACATGTTCCCGAGGCTTGGACCACCAGCAGCAGAGCCTCCTGGCAGGCAGTGAGACATGAAGGATGAGACTGTCACAAACATGATAATCATTATGCTTTACTAGTTAGGAGAGAAAGTAGATAAAACCCTACAGACAACACATTTTAGAAAGCAATCACTTCTCCATCTAGGCAAAAGCACAAGAAAAGAGTTGGTAGGACTGGAGATTTGGCTAAGTGGGGCCACCGCTTGCCTCGAAAGCACAAAGTCCCAAGTTCAATCCCCAGTACAAAAAAAAAAAGAGTTGCTGGCAACCCCACACAAGGGAAAGGATACGCCCACCCTGTAAGCCCAGGGACTGTGGGACTACACAGGCACTCATAGTCGCCACTAGTGGTGTGGGGCCTCTGGCCTTGGACCCCTGCAACACCTGCCTTTCTCACTGGAAAACCACAAAGTCAAGGCCAGAGGCTTGCTCCCCTGAGACTGTCCTGAGGCCACCCAACACCTCAGTCATACTGCACATTCACAACCAAAGGGCCACATGCTCCCCACCCACGGAGGCCCCCAGTCATGCCACCAAGCCTCCCAACACAATCAAAAACCATAAGTGAGATATTATGAAGTTTGCATTCCGCAGCGGGGTGTGGGTGTGAGTGGTGTGGCCCCAGGCCATGGAAGCCCCTGGGCAGGTGGCCAAGCACGGAGAGCGTTTTGTGGAAGACGAGGACACATAGGGGCTCTGGCACCCATGGCTGTGCAGTCCTAAAGAGCCACCAAGAGCAGCTCCCAGATGACCTTGTCCCGGGGGGGGCGCCTACACCCACAGCAGGAGCCACCCACCAGTGCCAGGAAAAGTGCTGCCCTGGTGTGGTCCCCTAGCAGAAGGGAATGTCTCACCAGCTACTCCAAGATTTTTACCACTGTCCTGAAGCATGGCTCAAATCCACCTGCACTTTTCAAAGCTTTGTTAAATCAGGAAACTCCTGCTGCCCAGGAGCGGCAAGGAGCTCCGAGAGCAGGTGCTCTGTGGAGGAGCAGCCAGCAGCCCCTCCCACCCTCCCCAAGCACCCAGGTCGCCTTCCTACACCTCCCCTCTCCTCAGGAAGAGGGCAGCAATGAAAACAGTGGGGAGGGCCAAGGTGCAGGTCAGCGCCATAAGCAAACCCACAGCCTCAGCCATCAAGGGCAGGTGTGCCAGGCTCTCTACAGAGCTCACAGACAAGCAAGGTGTCTGCAAAGAATTTGTTCTGGCGTCCACAATCACTGCTGTACCGAAGGAGAAGCGCCAGGGGCCACTCCTTCCACAGGAGGGGACTCTCACCAGGGCTGTTGTCATGAGCTGGAGGGCAACCTGGGGCTCATCAGGTCCAGCTCAGGCAGCTCCCAGTGCCTCCGCCCTGGTGTCCCCAGGACCCACTCTCCAGGTGATCCCACACTCAGGAGGAAAACTTCCACCACCTCACTAGCAACATCTCCAGGGACACCACAGCATAACGGCCCAGCTCCAGGGCACAGCAAGGAGTGCCCGCGGGCACTGAGGAATAACCCTCCAATCACACAGGCAGGGAGGGAGAGGCACCTCCTTCCTCTCGCTGAGCCAGAGCCCACCCACCTGTCCACCACCAGGGGAAGCTCGGGGCTGGGTAGGACAGGCCCAGGTGCTCTGCCCTCAGCAGGGAGGACAAGAATGGCGCCACAGGCCCAATCTGCACCCTGAGGGGAGAATACAGTCACAGGTGTCTTGATGGGCCTGGCCTGTGGGCATGCCCTGCCACCCACCCGGGGCTCCGGGGGAGACCCACCACAGCACTGGCACTGGCCGGGGCGGGCTCGGGGCCCCCATTCACATCAATGCTTCGCTCACGCTTGGCCTCCTCCAGGTCGGTCACTGTGCTTGGCCCCTTCTTCTTCTTGAGCTTGGCCAAGATGGAGGACTCACGCTCTGGGAAGGGTGGCATCTCCTCCAGCACAGTTGCCTGGGTGGGAAGAGGAGTACTCAGCATAGCCAAGGGCCCAGCCCCACCCCAGCTCCAGGGCACAGCCACAGCGTAGTACCAAGATGTCGGTGCTGGCCACGGTGCTGAGTCTCAGGTACTCCACGGCCCGCTGCTGCAGCTCCACATCCGCATTCTTGAGCTGGCTGTCGCTGCGCAGCACGTCCTGGATGGTGGTCTTCACCTCAGGGAACAAGTTCACAAACTTGATGTAGGTGGACAGCAGCAGGGCCCGCGTGGGGACGCTGCACAGGTGGAACTTGGAATGCAGCAGGTTAAACTGGATCAGAGGGCTGCAGGCAGAAAGGATGGTGCTCAGAGACCTGGCAACCAGGGTGTCAAGCCTGCTTTAACACAGGCCTCTGCAAGGCTGTGCCACAGTTCTGGGCCCACTGGGCCATGTCTCTGCATTTCACCAAAGCCCTGCCAAGGACCCACCAGAGCGAAGAGGATGGCAAGGCAGGGCAGCAGCTACTGGACAAGGATGTGCATCACCCCCACAGCCAGGGCCTCACCTAGACCGCGGGTCCCCAGCTATCAGGTTTCCAAATTCTCCCAGGATGTAGCCGCCCACTTTGACCAGGTTCTCATGGCACGCAGGGGCCTGCAGAGCCTGTGAAACCACAAACCCAGTGAGCCAGGGCCCAGGTGGCTGCACCCAGAAGGGTCCAGTGGCAGCCAAGCCAGAAGCAGGCACAGGACCATACTTTGAGGTATGTTATGCACACACCCCCTAATGCTTCCCAAAGACCCCAGAAACCTCAGGCAGCTGCAGCCCTGAGTCCAGGGAGGGATCTGTGAGCTAGCACTGCACTCGGAAAGTTCTGGGGCCACAGCACCCTCAGCACCCTCTCAAGTCTGCAAAAGGCAGGAGGCACAGGTGCTAGTGGCTTTTAGAGGCACCTCAGAAGCCACAATGTCCCAGCCTGGTGGACTTGGAGGGGCAGCAATAGGAGTTCGAACCTCAAAGAGCAGGAGGAAGATGAAGATCCCCACCAGGACCCTGCAATTCTGCTCCCAGGAGCCTGGGCACCACCACCTATGGGCCACACTACCCTCCCTGCCTCATGGATCCAGCCTTGCCTCAAACACCGTCTTGGCAGCATAACCCTGCACGTCGTCACGATTGATGACGATCTGAATGACACGATACCACACCTCCTCACTGACATAGTCCCCTGCGATGCGGATCAGGTTCAGGATGGTGTCCACATACCAGGTGTAGTCCACTGCGTACTTCTCAGCCAGGATGGCCACTTTTAGCACCTGGAGGGCAAGCTGGTCAGAAGAGGCCCACAGGCAATACACAAGGAAACCCATACCATGCCCAGTTGAGGCTTCGCAAGGACCTAGGGCTGCAGTGCTTGAGTCTCAGAGGCCTTGACCCCAGAAGCAGGGCCACTACCACACCACTGGCTGGCCACTGTTATGGAAGGAAGAGGCACAAAGAATCCAACACCAGCTAGGTGGCAGGGCCCCTCCCCCAAAGTTTCAGGGCTTCAAGTCCCCTCCCTCCAACAGGGAGGACAGTCTGGACACCAATGCCCCCGGCACACAGGCAGCAGAGTCAGGGTACAGCCCAGGACTGCAGCCATAAGCTCCACCATCCCCCTCCTTGTGGGAGACGCAAGGAAAGCATGCACTGAGGTAAACACCAGAGAAGATTCACAAGCAGGCCACAGAGAAGGGACAAGGGATCTGAATGTGCCTGCCTGGCACCAACCACTGTGGCCTTCTTCCAACCCTGAGCTTCTGCCACACTCAAAGACAGCACAATGCTGTTGCCAGTGCTGGTCAGGGCACCGCAATAAAACTCAGCCTGACGTGCAGAATGGCAGGCAGCACCCAGCACGGTACTCACGATCTCCTCGCGAATGGAGTAGTCAGCCGTCTCGAGGTAGCTCAGCATCTCAGCCACAATCTGCTGGGCATTGCTACGGTCGCACATGGCATACAGCAGGTCCACGGCTCGCTGCCGCACACTTACATCCCGCTCCGTCTGGGGAACAAGGCAGAGTAGAGCTGCGCATGTGGCACTGGTAGCATCTATGTGGTCCTGTCTGCCGGGTGTATGCCCTCACCCTGACTCGCTGGGACACAACAGCCTGGCAGCCAGAACCCAGCGCCATCCCAACTCTGTCCCCTCCCTGTCTGCACCTATGTGGATGGGGTTAAGGGCCTGCATTACGTGATGACAGATGCCACCTTCCAGTTACCTGGGAGCTGGCAACAGTCAGCAAAGGAACAAGACGACAACGGTTAAGAGGGAGGGCTCACTAAGGCCCACCCACCCCACCCCCAAGGCAGGGCCAAGAGGGTCCCGCGAGGGCTGGAGTGACCACAGCCACCAGACAGGACCAGAGGGCCCAGCCTCAACTCGGTGCCCAAACTCAGCCCAGGCCTCACCATCTCCAGGCTCACAACCCCTTTTTGGTATTAATGAGGAGGACTGTCTGGCCAATGTGTGCTGGGCCTGCAGACTCCACCTTGGAGATACAGAAGCCAACAGCAGGAGCGGACAGCCCCGTCAGGCTCTCACGACTCTGGGATTTTTATCCTCAAGAACTTGAAGTCCTACACAAGGTGAGCTTTCCTTGCAAATAGTACATTTTCTTGGAGATACAAAAGACAAAGCTAGACATGGTGGTGCACACCTGTACTCTAGGGAAGATAAGGCAGGAGGATTCAAGTTCCAGCCCAACCGGGGCAACTTAGCAACTAGCAAGACCTTATCTCAAATTAAAAAGAAAAAAGAAAAGGCTAGGGATGCAGCTTGGTGTAAAGACTGTGGGTTTGATCCCCAGTACCTCAAAAAACAAAAAAGAACAAAGTACTTCATCTTTCTTCCAAAAACAGAACGGTTTCTGTCACCTTAACGATTAGCTAGGACTCTACAATCAGGGAGCCATACAAGGACAGGGTCACACTCAGCCTACGGGGAGCAGTGTGATGCTGAGCCACAGGGTGTGCAACAACTCTCTTGCGAGAGCTGCACCCATCCATGTGACAGCAGGGGAGGGCTGGGCCCGAGTGCTGAGGGCCTGACTGGACGGTAAGTGCTGCTCCACCTCCCCACTCTGAGGGCCACGCGAAGCTGGCCACACACCTTGAGGGCATTGATGACGGTGTCAATGTGGGTCTTGACAGCCTCGTGTGAAAACTCGGAGCTGGCCAGCGTGCACATGCTCTCCAGTGCCAGGTAGCGCAGGTTGGTCTCCCGGTGCTGCAGGAACTGGCCCAGCTGGTTGCAGGCACGCACCAACAGGTTTGGCTCACTGTACAGAAAAGGGAAACACGGCAGAGGCTCCCTCAGTTCCCTGCACACCCAGGGGTCTCCACTCCAGCCCCGAAGCCAGGGTCAAGGTAGCCACATGCCGCCCAGGAACACAGCACACAGAGGCCAGACATGGACCCCAAGCTTGGTCACCCATCCACCTCATGGCTAAAGGGTGTCTATAGCACCCACCACCCCAAAGCTGGCCATACAGACCCCTCCTGAGCCCTGATTCTGACTCACAACAGCCCAGAGCCTGGGCTGTAACTCAGGGAAATACCCCCAGAACACAGCCCAGCACCCCACGCACCCTCCTGCCTCCTAGGACACGGTTTCTAAGTACAGCTAATGAGGACAGAGAAGGGTATGCTGGTTCTGAAGTTTCTCACAGTTCCCAACCCTGCTGAAGTGCAACTCTGTCATAGCAAAGGACCTTTGTCACGACACGCTGTGACTGAAAATGAGTAGTTTCGCTGCTGCCTGTGAGCCTGCCAGCCAGGTCCAGAGGGCAGGCTGAGCAGAAGACAGTGGGCAGCGAGCCCTGGGCTGTGGGAATGGCCAGCAACCATGGGTTGGGTTACCTCCCCCACAGCCTCAGGAGGCCTCAGGCCAGCATGGCACACAGCTCAGCTCAGAACCCAGCAGAGCCTCTATCCAAGGACAAGAGGGGCTGGGCAGGGCAGGATGCTGGGGACCACAGGAGGCCCTGGGGACAGACTGGAGAGGAGAGGGAAAGAAAGAGGCTCGTGGGGGAGGCGAGAGGCTGCAGAGGAAGCTGCCACGTCAGGGCCGAAAAGGGACAGATGCTGGATTTTCCCAAGGCTCCATCTCCAGGGCAAGCACAGCAGATGGCCCACCTGTCATGGTGGATGATCAGGCTGATGGCCTCGAAGAGGACAGCATTCTTGGCATTGGAGTGCTGTACCTTCTTGGACTTGGGTGGCTCCTGCGCCTTGTTCAAGATGGTCTCCAGGCACTCGGTCAGGCGGCCTCGCACTGCGGGGTCTTCTGGACAAGACAGAGGTATTGGCCACGCCCCGGCCCCAGCTCCCCACAGGGAGGGCCCCACCTGCAACATGTCTCTGGGCACATTCAGCACAGCTCCTCAGAGCCACATCCCACAGGGCTAAGCACTAACAAGACCCAAGAGCACGGCAGGTAGCACCCTGTGCTGGACACAGCCACCAAACAGGAGGAGTAGCTGCCATGTGTATGAATCTCAATGCATGTCACAGGCAAAGCTCTCGCTGAGATGCAGATTGTATTAGTCCTGAGGAAGTAGCCAAGAGATGGACAAACTGCTGCTCATGACCATGTATGTTCCATGCAACCCTCCCTGGAGCCCCATTTCCCACTGCCTCCATACCGCACTGTTACCTGGGGGCGGGTAGCACTGCAGCAGCCTCAGAAGTTTAACTGAAAGCCAGGGAGCTGGGACAAAGTAGTAGGTATAATCCTGAAGGTCCGTGGACGCAGAAGTCACGATCTGTAAGACAAAGCAGGGATGAGACACCCTGCCCAGAGGGGACCTGAGAATAGCTACGTTCACTCATCCTCAGGCCCCAGCCAGAAGGATGCAGCTCTCAGACAAGGGCATCTCCCTCCACTGCTGCCTGTGTTCATGGAGAGGCCTGAGAGGCCCCCACGATGGCCTCGGTGCTCTGAGCACAAGTGTCTGAGGCGGCTCCTGAATGGACAGAGAGCAAGCAGCACACCAAAGAGGGGCCGAGGACAGCTGAGACCCCAAAGAGAGGGACACCCCGGTGCAGAGCCAGGCGAGATGCGGCCCTCAAACACACAGCCCTTGCAAGGCACATCTTCAGCCAGCCTTCCAGACAAGTGCCTATGGGCAACACAGCCCATCACAAAAAGCAAACACAGCAGCCCTCCGCTCATGGGAGGCACCTGTGATATAAAATTTAAACAAATAGTAGGTGCAAGGGTTAGCATTTAAAGGAAACAGTCTGTTTACAAAATGCAGTTATGGAGGGGCCGGGGATTTAGCTCAGCGATTCAGTGGCCTGCCTCGCAAGTGCAAGGACCTGAGTTCGGTCCCCGGTACCACAAAAAAAAAAAAAAAAATGCAGTTATGGAGATAAATGCACATTATGAATTTACTTAAAACCACTAAACCATACACTAAAAAAAAAGTTAAGATGGTAAATTTTGGGCCGGGGATTTAGATCAGTGGTTCGGTGGCCTGCCTTGCAATCACAAGGACCCGAGTTCAATCCCCGGTATCAAAAAAAAAAAAAGATGCTAAATTTTGTTACACATTAAAAAACTCAAAAAAGCTGGGCGTGGTGGCACATGTCTGTAATCCTAGCACTCTAGAGGCTGAGGCAGGAGGCTCACTGTGAGTTTGAGACCAGCCTGGGCTACACAGTGAGTTCCAGGTCAGCCTCAACTACACAGTGAGACCCTGTCTCAAAAAACAAACGAACAAAAAAAAAAGAACTAAAAAAAAAAAAAAACTTAAACATATAGTAGTTAAAAGTAAAAACTTTAAGCTATCATTAAGAACAGAACTTAAATACAAAATACAGAAATAAATGTAGAAAGGAGCTGGGCATGACAGTGCATGCCTGTAATCCCAGCATTGGAGGCTACAAAATACAGAAATAAATGTAGAAAGGAGCTGCACATGACAGTGCATGCCTGTAATCCCAGCATTCGGGAGGCTGAGGCAGGAGGATCACTGTGAGTTCAAGACCAGCATGGGCTACATGGTGAGTTCCAGGTCAGTCTCAACTACATAGTGAGACCATGTCTCAAAAAACAAAAAAAAAAAGAAAGAAAGAAATGTAGAAAGATAAACAGAACCTCAGAAAGCTATAAAATGTTACAGAAGAAAATAAAAGATGAGCCACCATGACCAAAACAGCAACCCAAGTCCTGGCAGGATTTCAGGGTGAGTACACCAAGGCTCAGGGGTAGACACAGCACACAGTGTGCAAGGATAGCACCAGGCAGTGCCAGCATGGCAGATGCCGCTCCAGGAAAGGTACCTGCACAGCCAACACTGCCAGCTGACCACAGCGCAGTGGGGCCTTGGGAAGGCTGGCTCCACAGATGGCATGTAGTACACACTGGCTCTGGAGGGCAGCACTGGCAGAATCTGGCTGCAATGGCTTCCCAACACAGTGTGGGCGGCCACGCAAAGCGGCCTCTTGAAGACCAAAGTTAAGTGCTGGCAATCTGTATGGTCCCATCGCAGTGCTCATGTTTAAGACAGAAGCTTTAGAAAACAAGAACAACCCAGGCCAGAGATGTAGCTTAGTGGAGAGCACTTGCCTAGTACGTACAAGGCCCTGGGCTCCATCTCCCAGAACACACACAACAAAAATGACAACGCAGTGGAAAGGTGGGCCGCAGGCTTCAGCCCTTCACCAAGAAGAGATCCATCCACAGGAGAGGCAGGGGCCCACCTCTCTGACAATCAGGAAAATACATGCTCAGATCAGCAATGCCAAGCCATGGCAAGGCAGGAGGAATGCACCACACTTCTGAGGGTGCCCTGCACAACCGTGTGCAAGTGGCTGGGCACTGTCCCTCGACTACAGACCACGGCCACTGGCATCCCACGCACACAAACCCAAGACTCCACAGGCTGCTCAGAACACATGACTCCAGGTGGCCCACAGGGAAGGAGTGAAAGGCTCAACAGGACATGGACCAGGGGAGCTCACCCTGGACCACAACATAACCCAGGTCTCTGCAGCATCAGAAATGGTGGGCGACAGCTGCAGAGGACAGACATGAGGACTTCACACACAGCGCTGATGGGACGCGCCAAACACGAAGAGCACCAGAACATGTGCTGCACGTGTTCACCCACCACGCCCTTGACACGGGCAATGTGGGAGGTCTGTGTGGGTCCCAGGGGCACTGCGCCAGGTGACCCTCGGACAGACCCCCACCCCCGACATCTGCCCCAAGGACTCACTCTGCTCAGCCTGGAGACAGCGAGGGAGATGGAGGTCTTGAACTCCTCGGGGTTCTTCTGGGCCAGCGTGGTGATCAGGCTGGTGGCAGCGGTGACCACGCCCTGAGACAAACAGCAGATGCTTGGGGCTCTGCCAGGCTGCCCTGAGAGCCCATGGAATCCACACAGACTATCCTCTGGACCCGATTTCTCTCTGGAAACTGGAAACCCAATGAGTCTGGCCCAGCCCCCTGCACAGTGAGGCATGTGGTCCTGAAGGGAACGCACACAGGCCTCCCTGACACTGGAGGACACCTAGGACACTGCCCAATGGACAGCTGTTTCCTAGGCACGATATCGGCTGGCTATGCATCCAGGGAGCCTCTACTCAGCAGCCCAATAAGGTCCTAGCACGGCCCGGGCACATTCTGCAGCACACTGCGCCCTAGGGGTGCCAGCGCCCACACAGAGTGGCTCAACACGTCAAGTGCACAGCCCTGTACATGGCCCTGCTCGGGTCCTCAGTGGCACGGGCAGTTTGTACTCACCAAGTGCTGGTCATTGAGCAGATGCACCACACGCGACGTCCAGTCACCCATCGGGACAAGGTCGGGGGACGCCCTGTACAAGCGCAGCAGGCACAGGGCCGCACTCTGCTTCACACTGTCCATGGTGTCTCTAGAAGACAACATCAGCAGTCACCGCAGAGCAGAGCCGGGCACTGCACAGAGCATCCCAGGGACTCCAAGAGATAGAAGGGGACATGGATGCGCAACTTACAGGCCCCTCAGAGGCCTAGAGTACAGTTCTCGATGCCAAAGCAGAGTCCTGCTGGCCAGAGCCTTTGCTGCCAGCTCACTGCCCTCCAAGGACAGCAACTGCTACCTCACCAGCACAGAGCACAACCCTGGATCCACCGGCCAGCTTCACAAACCATGCTCCTGTCTGAACCAGCTGCCTCACAGCCCACAATCACAACAACAATGGTCCCAGGGCCTCCACAGTAACTTGTTTCGCCTCCAGAATGCTATCCAGGCCTCCCACACTTGCTTCTTATGACCTGTGCTGCTCCACTGATGCCCTGTGGAGAGGAGCAGCCAGGAGGCACCAGCTGCTCCTGATGCCCAAGAGGAGAAAAGCAAGTGGTAGTCTAGGAGAAAGTGCAAGCCAAGCACAGCGGCAGGCACCTGCGATCCTAGTGACTTGGGAGGCAGAGAGGACAAAAAATATAAAAAGAAGCCAGGCACAGTGGAACACACCTATACTCCCAGCACTGCAGGTGGGGGGGTCAGGAGATTCACCAAGTTCAAGTCCGGCCTTGGCAACTTAGCAAGACTGTTTCAAAAGTGAAAAACAAAAGGCTAGGGATGTATCACAGTACAAAGGACCTGGCTTCAATCTAAAAAAAAATTTTTAAAGGATATAGATCATGGGAAAGCGCTTGCTTAGCATGTGTGAGGCCCTAGGCTGAATCCCAGTACCACGGTGGGGAGGCACCTTGCACAGGAATACGAGCTGTCCCTCCCAGCCTGGCATTCAGTCTCAAAGCTGACTGTTCATCTTCTCTCCCTTTACCATACATGTTTCCATCACTGCCTTCAGATCGTACTGTGAAAAGTCCTGGGGAGTGGGTGTGGGCGGTGGAGCCCAGGACAAAAAGCACCAAGGCCACAGGCTGTAGACCCTTGGGTGGGGCTGCTGGCTTCTGCTCTGCTGTGGCCATGCTGCAGGCACAGGACCTTCCTCCCCCAACCTGCTGTGCTGCCAGGCTGTATCCTCAGGCCTGGGGCAGGGTGGCTACCCACTGGGAAGGGCCTGAGACACTTTCTCAGTTACCATTTGTTTTTTTATTCCTACTTTAATGAGGCAAAACCAATGTGAGAAACTCCTCTAGAAGCGTATGAAAGAAAAACTGCCTTATAGGGCCAGAAATTTAGTTCAGTGGCACCCGTGCCTGCCTCACAAGCTCAAGGTCCTAAGATCGATCTCCAGTACCGAAGAACTGCTTTAAGCAAAAGTACCACTGGGCCAGCCAGGAATGTTGGCACACACTTCTAATCCCAGCACTCAGAAGGCTAAGGCAGGAGGATCATGAGTTCAAAGCCAGCCTGGACTATAGAGACCTTGTCTCCTAAAACAAAATAATTAAAACATTCTTTTGGATGCAAACACTGCAGGGAAAGCAGCAGGTGTGCGCCCCTCGCCCCTTCTGGTCCCACCAGGCCCGGGGGCAGGTTGAGTACCTGCAGCTGGGCATCCATACTGGCTGAGCCACAGATCTGTGCAGCTGCAGCTCTGCATGTGTGGCTCCAGGCAATGTCTGCCTGCTCACTGATGCCTTCTGGCATCCTCCCCAGGCCAATGTTAACAGAAACCGCAGCAAAGATCTCAGCAGCTCCCACCACCCCAGTCTCCTGGGCAACCTCTAAGCCCCAGAGCAAGGAGCCCCACCTCACCTACATCTCTACTTCTGCTGAAACACCTGTCCTTACTCCCACATCTTGTGCACTGCTAGCTTTCACCAGCCCCTCAAACCGGGCATCCAGCATTCAGTCACCAACTGCTCGGGGGACTTCCCGAGTCAATCACACTTTTCAAGGGTGGCCCATTGGTGCCACACACCATCCTCATGGACAGCTCAGCTGTGGTGGTAGCACCAGGCCCTGTGTCCTCTGCAAAAAGATGGGTCCTTAGCCTTTGTCCTCAATGTCTGCATGCTATGCGTGTGTCCCCTGAGCAATGAAGGGACCATTTTCCTTCCCCCAACCCCGAAGCTGACTATGCTCACAGGGACAAGTCCTGTGCCCAGTGCTGGAGGAAAAGGACAAGGACATTGGAGCCAGCTGGGTGGGCAGAGCTCCACAGTGGCTGCCAGAGGTGGGATGGATCTCAAAGCACCATCTCCTCCACTTCCTCTCCGGTGCTCACCTTTGCCAGCACCCACCCCTGGCTGCCAAGGTGGCTTCACTCTCAGGGTCAGATGCTGCTCTGCCTCCTCCCTTCCCTCCCCATCCTCTGTGGACTGTAGAGCCTGGTCTAAATTTTAGGTCTGTGCCAGGATGGCTCCCTGAGCTGCTCCTGCCACCCCACACACACATCCCACAGCTCCCAATCAGGGCCTCAGGGAGCCCAGGGCAGCAGATGACAGGAAATACCCCGAGATGCCATCCAAGGTGCCCTCAGGGATGGGGGCCCAGTGGAGAACTCAGGACTGGACCAGCGTCTGTCCCCACCCCATGCTTCTTCATGCCGCCTGAGGTTGTGTCCCTTCCTCCTGTGCACAAAGCAGGGATAGTCACCCCATCCTGCTCCAGGTCCTGCTGCAGATGTAGGCAAACGAGCCACTGTGTGGCCATGGATGGCCATTAACCCGGCAGAGCCCCAAACAGGCAGGGTGCTCCTCACATGCCTGGGGCCGCTTCATACTCGCCCAGAACCAGCCCCTTGGGCCACTCAGCTGCATTCCAAGTGAGGAGCAGAGCACAGAGGGCAGAGGCCCCCGGCTTTCCCTTAGAATGCCAGGGCACAGCAGTTCCTTCCCTCGGCACCAGCAAGCTGAAGCCGTGCCTGGCTCGGCTACCAGGACCAGATTCTCATCCATATCCACATTCTCCTCTCAGTGGTCTCTCACTAGACTCCTCCTGAAATGGCATCTGCTGCCCTAGCCTCAGGCTGAAGCTCAGGCTGCACCTGCAGAAGGCGGAGGGACATGGCACCCAGGCACATACCCTGCGACGAGGATCTTAGGGACCTCCCCTGCGAAGGCCTCTGCCATCTCCCGGCTGCCCACATTGGCGATGCAGTGCAGGGCAAGGCCCATGAAGGTGGGGTTGCGGCTGGCCAGGTCATTCTTGATGGCATTGTTGATCAGGCGGATGAGCTCACTGTTGGAGTTCACCAACACGGAGATGAAGAGGTAGCCCTGGGGCGGAGCGGGAGACCGAGCATGAGGAGATCACTCCCAGCCTTCCCCGTGGGTGCCCAGCTGAGAGCCCAGGGCCCTCACTGGAGAGCTCAGCAGCAAGGTACAGGGTCTCTGCTCCAAGCTGTCTGACTCAGCATCTCCCCAGGCCCAAACCAGACTCTACAGTTTAGGACACAGTGACTAGGACAACCGTAGGCATCCAGTACAGATGTGACTTTTTCCCCAAACTCTTTCTACCTACAGTTGTGACTCGAGGAGGCGGGCCCCCCAGACACAGAGCACTAACTGCTTAACAAGAGTATGTAGAGTATTTCTTGATTTCTGAAGTTTCTTCCCCCAAGTACTGGGGATCAAACCCAGGGGTGCTCTACAACTGAGCTACATCCTCAGCCTTTTTTATTTTTATTTTGAGACAGGGTCTCTATTAAATCGCTAAGTTGCCCAGGCAGGACTTGAGCTCCACCAGCTTTAGCCTAAGTGCTATATTTCAGGCATGTGTCACCATACCTAGCTCATTTTTTTTTTTTAACCAGTAGAGAAAACTATTACTTTGTAATGCTGTGGAAACACAGACATAACATCACTAGAAGACAGCACACAGCTGAAACCACCAAGCCTGGGAGCTGGGGAGGGTAGCAGCGACCACATCTCCCTGACCTCACAGCACTGCGTGTGGCCCAGGCAGGCATCCACGCCACCGTGACTCGGGCTGAGCCAGGCGGTGTGCACAGAGCTAAAGCACCACACAGCCCACACCCAGGGCGCCTCCTGTATGGGAGCAGGGCCAGAGAGCGGAAGCAGGGCTACATGGCTGGGAGCCTCTCTGTCATGGGTGGGCATCACCACCGCCACACCTGCTGGCCCTGGCAGGCGACAGGCACCTGCGCTGGTACTTACAATCTGCTTCTCTGTGTATCGGTTGGAGCTCAGCAGGTTCACAGCCTCCATGTGCCCAAAGTCGATGTCGTGACCCAGGAGGAAGATGAAGAGCAACTTGCACACGTACTTCTTTTTACTGTAGCCATCAAGAGCCTTGTCACCTGTAGAAGAGGGGAGGACAGTGTTTGCCCCAGGTGGGTGAGCCAGGAAAGCAAACGATTCAGGGGAGCCACTAGGAGCCATGGGTAGACCCCAAAAGGCCACTGTCCCCTCCGGGGCTTGGCCTCCCCTGACAACAGGAACAGCACACAGCGGTGAGGCTGGGATGGCCCTGCGGCCTGGGATCTGCACCCCAGGAAGCACAAAGCACATCTTGAGAGAAGTTCACTCATGCTAGCAAGTTCACATCCTGAATCAGCAGTGCTGCACAAACCACCTGGCCTCAAAAACCACACGGCATGCACACACGTGTCACGATGACTTCCACTTTTACCACAATCACAGCAGACTGACCCCTTCCTGAGGTCACGGCACGGTAGAAGAGCATAACCAGAAAGTATGAAGCTCCACCCATGCCACAGGGCCACTCAGCACTGCCACATCACCCCCAGAGCAGGAGGGGCGCCCTCAGACATGGGAAGGCCCCTCTTCACCAGGCCTACAGGACACAGGCACAGGACGAGACAAAGTTCCCAACCCATGGCCGACCCACCAAGCCAAGACTGCACCAGCAACTGGAAACCAGTTAGAGGGGCTTCTCCAGCCTCAAACTAAGGTACCAGACAACACCAGAGAGTCAAGGCCTGGCTCTAGCTCCCACCCTGCAAATCTTGCCCTACCAGTTCTCAGAGGGTGCAGCGCATGGCAGCCAGACCCTTCAGGCTGGCAGGACAGGAAGCACTCACTAAAGGGACAACACAGGAAGCCAGAAGAGTAACACGACCAAGTTTGTCAGGATAGCCATCGAGCTCTGGCCCAAAGCCCACAAGTCCTCCCAGCTTTGTAGACAGGAGCCTTTCTGTGTCTCCATGGCAGGGACCACCAGCTTGTAAGCTAAGCTGGAGACCTTGGGGACAATGTGAAATGAACACTCCAGGCCTTCAGGGTCAGTTGGACACAGGAGTCTCAGCCCGACAGGGAGTCAATGAGACCCTGCCTGCAGCCAGGGAATCCCAAGGGGCCAAGTCCTCAGCAAGAGGGCAGATGGGGTGCTACAGCTCTGCCAGGAAGGGGACAGCCCCACACCCCAGGTGAGGGGCACCCTAGAGCCAACTCTCTCTGCCAAGGCACTCCCAGATGCCTGCCCTCTGCACTGAACCTGTCCACTGTCATCCCCATACCATGCTGCTTCCCATGCAGTGCCCACAGGCAGAGGCTCCAACCAGGGAGGCGCAGATCTCCCAGCAGACACAGTGCTGCGCTGAGGGTGTAGAGCTCCTCCCGGGAGGGTGGGAACCCGCAGGGCTCTGACCTACTTACTGGTGGATTTGGGAACCAGGTCTCTGGCTGGCCATGCAGACCACAGCGCTCCCAGACCTGGGCCCCGGCAGCACTAGGCAAGGGCATCAGGGCAGGACAGGATCACCTCAAGCTACAGGGTGCCCTGATACCCTGCAAGCCACACCAGCCTGCTCAGAGAGCCTTAGCCACAGAGCTCCACACACTGCTCCAAGGACAGCACACACCAGGCTGGACAGACAACTTGAGAACCAGCCCAGGTGCTACATGGTTCCCAGGGTGTGCACGCTGCTCCCTGTGCAAGGCCTAGGCTTCCTCCAGTGCTCCCTAGCTGGGTATCTGTGCCACTTGTGAACTATGGCCCCCAGCACCAACCTACAACTATCCCTGCACACACTACCCCAGATAGGGCCTCTAAGTCCCCTTCATGCCCTCTCCATGGAGAGGCATCTTGGTGTGAGGCCAGGGTGGCACTGTGGTCGGCGTAACCTTGGGGCCTGACCTCCACATATCCCCAGCACACAGACTTCTGCAGCCAGCCTGACCAGCTGGCACCTGTGCCCACCCAAAGGCCTCATCAAGCCATAACAGCAATGTCCCTGCACCCTTGGCACCCAGCTCCTTTTGCCCACGCCCAACACCCCCCTGGCAGAGGAGTCCTGCCACTTGAGGACCCTCCTGCAGCCCAGGGCAACAGGATCCCTGTATCAGAGCAGCTGGTTGCAGTGCTGGGCTAGACCTGTTTTCTTATCCAGGTAACTTCAAAGGGTCAAGGTGAACTTTATCTTCCTCAGCTACAAACCAAAAAGATGCAGCAATGCAGTGCAGATCAAAGGCAGATAAGCGAACAGCCCCAGCCTACACAGCACCAGGACTCACAGGCCTGGCCAGGGCAGCTCTGAGCCTCCAACCCCAGTGTCTGAGGGGCACAGAGCCCTAGGACCAGGTCAGGCTGCAGCAGCTGAGGCACATGGCAATGGCACAGGTGTGGACAGTGCCTCCGAGGAGCGATGTTTGTCCTGTGCATCAAGCAGGACACTACAGTGCCGTGGTCAGGTGTGCTGCACCCAGATGCATCCCACCCCAAGGCCTGTACGAGACAGGGGCCAGGAGCCCTTCTGGTGCGCAGGGCAGGGTCAGAGGCATCACTGCCTTGCCTCACAGAGCCCAGCAGGGGCAACTCCAGGGCCTGTGCTGTGGACAGCAAAGGATAAGCAAGCTTGTTAGCTAGAGAGCAGGACAGCACAAACCAAGGAAAAGTGAAAACTAAGCTCTTATTCAGGAATTTAGCCCGGCATGGAAGTACAAACCTGTTTGGCACAAGTTTGAGATCAGCCTGGGCTACATCAAAATCCTGTCTCAAAAAAAAAGGACGATGGTGGCTCACACCTGTAAATCCAACACTCACAAGGCTGAGGCAGGAGGATCACCACAAGTTCAAGGCCACAGTGAGTTCAACACAGCCTGAAGTACATCGTAAGACCCTGTCGCAAAAAAAAAAAAGCCAAAAAACCCAACTTGCTTTGCAATGCTCTGTTGTATTAAATGTCTCTATGTCCTATCTGGGGCAGCCAACCCACTGAGGCCTACAGTCCAACCTGCACCATGGGACAGCTTGTGGGTCCCAGCCTTGCAGGCTGGTGGCCCGGCTTCAAGCACCTTCCTTGCACTGCTCCAGAGCCTGGACAGCACCTCCCGCCTGGTGCAATCCTGTAAAGGGTCCAAGTGTGCATCATCAATGTCTGTCTGGGCTTCACACATCAGGCCACCCGCAGGCCCACACAGGCTACTTTAACAAGCCTGGCTTCATGTATTCCTCCTGTGGATAAACAGGCCTTTCAAATGTTTCTGCCTTAGCTGGGCATGTCGTACACACCTGTTATCCCAGCACCAGGAGCCTGAGGCAAGAGGACTACAAGTTCATGGCCATCCTGAGCTACACAGCAAAACCTTATCTCAAACAAACAAAAAATAGGGCCAGGGATTTAGCTCAGCGGTTCCACCGCCTGCCTCACAAGCTCAAGGACCCGAGTTCAATCCCTGGTACCAAAAAATAAATTTATTTATTTATTTATTTATTTATTTATTCATTTATTTCACTCATTTCAGTTCCACCCCAGTCTTGACCCAGAACCCAAGAGTGCCAACTGAGGAACACGCCACTGCATCTGGAGCTGAGTCTGCTGGCCCCAGGAGTGCAGTGCAGCTTCAGGGACCTCTGCACAGGACATAGGCAACAAAGGAAAGTAAGCCATACCGCAGCAGCATGGACATTGGAAACTAGAAGGCCCCACAGGAACAGAGCCAGCCCCACTTAGGGATGGCAAGCACTCTGGACACTTCTCCACCTGAGACACCAAGCAGGGGCCATTGCGGTCAAACACCAACCCTACTATGGGATGCTGCATACCCAGGAAGACTCAGGAGATAGTGAGGGTGGCCAGGGCCCTATGCATGCTGGTATCAGCGCTTGACACTGCAGCCACAGTGCGAGACATAACAGTGAGCTATTCAAAGATTAAAAGAGAACGGCCCAGCTCAAGCAATGTGGCTGAGGCAGATACTTCCCCAGCATGGGCAGGGCCCTGGGTTCAAGACCCAAGACTACAAAATAAAATGCAATGAAAACAGCACCACTGTGTGGCTCAGACAACTTGAGAACCAGCCCAGGTGCACATGCAGAAGGAACAGACTCCTGCACAGCCACACTTATAGCAGCACCAGTCACCATAGACAGGGGTAGAAGTGTCTGAGCATCCTCTGCAGATAAACAGATGCACTTGAGGAGTATTACACAGTCTTTAAAAGGAAGAAAAACTACCACATGGTGAACCATGGAAGAACCCTGAGGGCATCACACCAAGCGACACAAATAAAGGAACCACTGCTGTGCAATTCCACATCTGTGAGGTCCCTAGATCATCAGAATCAGAGCAGGATGGTGGTGCCAGGGAACGGGGGTCAGAGTTTAATGGGGACACAGCTTCAGGTCTGCAGCATGAAGAAGGTTCTAGAGATGGACAATGGCAAAAGCTGCAAACAGTGAAGATGTAGGGGATGGGGTTCCCTAAGGGAGGCGAACCCGGAGATGGAGGTGAAAGAGTGAGGCAGGAGAGCAGGGACACCATGCACATGGACTAGCTCCCCACAAGAAACGCAAATTTGAAAAGAATATACTTAATATTAATACACCGTACCTAAACACGACTGAAGCTATGTGGCATGTGGTGTGTCACCACAAGTTCTGAAATCTAAAAGCAGAGTGGCAGCTCCAACTGGATGAGAACCAAATCCACTGCTGACCTTAAGGGGAAATTTAACTGGGTTCTCATCCAGTTGGTTTTGCAACCAGAATCGTGGACAGAATTGAGTTTGTGAACGCCACTGAACAGGTGTGCACCACCACAACCAGCTCCGTTTGCTGTTTTTGTTTTTAGGGATTTTTTTGGTACAGTCCTAGGGATTGAATTCAGGCCTTCATGCTGAGCTACATCTCAGTCTTATTTACTTTTTTGTTTGAGGCAGGGCCTAAGTCTCTAAATTGCGCAGTTGCCCAGGCTGGACTCAAAGTTGCACTCCTCCTGCCTCAGCCTCCTAGAGTACTGGGACTATAGTTGGGTGTCGCAACCCTGGCTTGGCCTCATCTGTTTTTCTCCACCCCCCACCAGGTATCAAACCCAGGACACTGCACTTGCAGGCAGGTGAGGCTCCACTGAGCTAAATCCCCGGCCCTGCGGCCACATTCTTAAGGCAGTGTGACTGGCTGCTGCTTCCGCAACACCTGGGGACAGGCTCTTCCACTTCTGCCTCCTGCACTGACACCTGCGGCCAGCGTGGCTCTGCTCCTGTGGAGCCACCCTCCTGGCCCACACCCTGCCCCTTACAGCATTCAGGGTCTCTGGCAGGACCTAGAGACTTAGTGCACGCTTCTCTGTCTCACAGTGTTGTTTGGGGTGGTACTGGGAGTGAACCCAGGGCCTGCACACTGAACACATCCCCAGCCTTTTTAGTTTTTATTCTGAGACAGGCCTCGCTGTCAGCTGTGACAACCAAAATCACCTGTCTCCTGGGGAGCCAGATCCCACTGACTTTCCCAGGCCTTTCAGGTCACCAGCACCCACTCTGCGTGGCAGCTACTATCCCCACCTGACAGTGCTGCCCCGCATAATTCGCCACATCCACCCCTACGCTGCTACCTGAGCTAACAAGCACTGGGCTGTGGGTGGTGTAGACCAGATGTGCTCTGCATAGGCACCGCAAAGGGGACACAGAGACCAGGGTGGAACTCTGCACAGCAGCTCCGTGATTTTCCCAGCGTTACAGCTGTGACCACACTGTAGGTAGAATGAGCTACGTGAAGCAGAGATACAGTTAATCTCAAGTTTCTGTTTACATTCTTCAACAGGGCAACTGAACACTCAGGCTCTGAGTGACCTGCGCTGCGGAGTCTCCAGCCCGTGGGCCACAGGGACGCCCAGGCCAACCCACTCAGGGACAAGGCAGATCTGCTCCTGGCTGGGGCGGCTGGCTTTCCCATGGGCCACAGCTGGGGCAGGATGGGGTCTCTTCCCAGGACCAGACAGCTGCTGAGTCCCAAAATAAAGAGAAGTTTGGGAACTGAGGCGCTGAACAAAGCCTTTCATCTTTTTGGCGAAGTGGGGCTGAGAGAAGCCTCACTATGTAGCCCAGGCTGGACTTCAACCATGATCTTCCTCCCAGTGCTGGGACTAACAGGTGTGGCTACCACACCTGGTTGCAAAATCTTTAACCTTAGTTATACATCAACAAGTCAGCTTATTCTAAAACCCAGGAAATCTCACATTCAACTGAACCTTCCCTCGCAGACAGCCATGGACTGAAGCGCACTAAACTCTCACCTCCCCCAGGCCACCTCAAGTGTTCTCCTGGAAGTATGCGTAGAACAGCAGACAGAGCCCATGCAGTGAGGCCCAGGCTGCCTCAAGCCTACAGGGATGACTTGCGGGGGGGGGGTGTCCTTCCCTTGCTGCCTCCTCTCTCACAGTGGGTACACGTGCTCTGTCTCTAACCTACTTCCCTTCCCAAACACTGCTATCCACCTGGCAACACCGCCATGCAGGGTCTGCAGCAGGAACCCACTGAGACTCACCTCCACTTCAGTCAGGAAAGGCACACAGGGCAGGCGTCCACCTGTGCGAAGAACGCACATCTGCAGCAGGACAACCACAGGGTGTTTCCGCTCTTCACAGAGCCATGGAAGTCCCAGGCCCACCACACACAAGCAACCCCCTCCCATGACATCAGGAGTTTCACAGGCCTCCTCCAGGAGCCTCAGGCCTGGCTAAACCACGAAAAACCGATACTCTCCCTGAGCGCAGCAGGGCACACACCTGCCAGCAACAGGCAGCTGAGCCCCCCTGGCTTTGCATTACTTGGGCACCAGTCGCAGGGCTGCCCTCTGACCACTGGGGCTCCACAGGGCCCGGCCCAGCCCTCCAGCTGTTCCCAGCAACCTCAGCTATGCTCAATACTGCATACACTCAAGGCCTGACTCAGGTCTCAAGCCCATGAAACACACTGAAAGCCAAGGCTGGAAGGACAGGCCAGCTCTCACACACACCCTCAAGACCAACCAGCGCCAGCCTGTGCTGAGCAGGTCTCCACAGGAGGGTGTCGGAGGGTGCAGCTCACAACAGCCACCGCTGAGACTACAACACTGTGACACTGGAGAGCCCACAGCCACCAAGAGACCCCGTGTCCAGGGCTCATCCCACCAGGCTGACCATGCCCAGTACCAGGCCGGCACTGTTCCAACCCAGGAAAGGAAAGGCCTAGACCTCGGCCCTGAGGGGAACACGCCTCCTAAACGGCCAGCACATGGACCCCAGAACCCAGGAGCAACCCAAAAACAGGCTCAAATTCACAGACAGGAGGGCCTGGCCCACTTGAGAACTAACCTTTGGTTTTCAAAGAAAAACAAGACAATGTTAAAAAATCAGGTCTTCACTATGGAAAATATATGACAATATACCAAAAAGGTTAATAAATACTTACCTTTAAATTTTGACCTAATATTTGCCAGTTCCTTGTTTATCCTCTTTATTTCGGCTTCTTTACTTTTGCCTAAAAAAGCAGAGAGAGAAAGAATGCGTGTTCCGTAACTGACTTCTTTTTTTTGTTTGTTTGTTTGTTTTTGTTTTTTTTTGTTTTTTGAGATAGGGTCTCACTATGTAGTTGACACTGACCTGGAACTCACTATGTAGCCCAGGCTGGTCTCGAACTCACAGTGATCCTCCTGCCTCAGCGTAATTGACTTCTACAGAAACACCACCTTCCCAGTGAGAGAGACCCACCCAAAGGCCTAGAGGGTGCCGGCGGAAGCACCTACCTGAAAGCCTGGCTCACCAGAGCACGTGCCCTGGGGTACAGCTTGTAGTGTCACCCCCTGGAACTCACTATGTAGCCCAGGCTGGTCTCGAACTCACAGTGATCCTCCTGCCTCAGCGTAATTGACTTCTACAGAAACACCACCTTCCCAGTGAGAGAGACCCACCCAAAGGCCTAGAGGGTGCCGGCGGAAGCACCTACCTGAAAGCCTGGCTCACCAGAGCACGTGCCCTGGGGTACAGCTTGTAGTGTCACCCGAGTGTGCAGCAGGAGCCCCATCCTGATCAGTCTGCACTCAGAGCTGAAGCTGCAACAGCCCTTCCTGAGGACACTGCCAGCCCCCTCAGCCCATCTGTGGCAGCCAGAGAAGCACAGAGAAGCAGCAGGTATCCACCACAGGCAGTGCTGCTCACCCAGACCTTCCACACACCTGCGACACAGAGTCGCAGCACAAAGAAGACGAGACCACTGCTGCTTTGGGGGCTGCTCTTGGGTTTTGTTCTTTTATTTTCTCTGGAGACAGCATATAACTATGTTGCCCAGGCTGGCGTTATACTTATAATCCTCCTGCCTCAGACTCCTAGGCAGCTGGCATACAGCCCTGGGTCACTGTACCCAATAACCATGCATCTTTTAACCTCATCCAGGCTGAGTGAGAATCCGTACTAAGCACAAAGGGTGTTTCCGACCACATGCAGTACCTCCCAGGATGAGGTGAGCTGTGCACAGGAACAATGTCTTTTAGAAAGCACCAATAAGCCAGCTGTGAAGGTGCAAACCCACCATCCCAGCACTCAGGGAGGCTAAGGCAGGAGGATCACAAGCTCCAGCCCAGCCTGGGCAACTTAGCAATACGCTATCTCAAAATTAAAAAGGGGCTGGGGATGTAGTTCAATGCAGAGGTCCTGGTTTCAATCCCTAGTACCACACACACACCACACACCCACACCACTGCCAGAGCTGATGGTTATAGTGAGTCCCTGCTTAAAAATTACATTTCCTGCTGGCCATGGTGGCGCACACCTGTAATACCAGCACTGGGGAGGCTGAGGCAGGAGGATCGCTGTGAGTTCAAGACCAGCCTGGGCTACACAATGAGTTCCAGGTCAGTCTCAACTACATAGTAAGACCTTGTCTCAAAAAACCAAAAATAAAAAATAATGCTGAATTCAACCCCTGATACCAAACAAAAGTTTATGTTTCCAAGCCTCTGCAGCCCCCAGGGCACACACCAGAGTGGCCCACCCCACAGGGGCCCGGCCAAGGGCTAAGGGCTCATCACCGCTCCACCCGCTCCACAGCGCGGCACTCGGGAGACCCTGGAGCCGACCATGACTCCCCATGCGTGGGTGCATAGGCTCAGGAAATGGGGGCCACAGTGCCACTCCAGGCCACCTACATGGTCGAGCACAGAACTGACCCCAGGTGGACTCAGAGGCTGAGCAGCTGCTGGCTCTGCCAGAACACAGGGCAGCCTCCAAAGGCCGGGCATTTTGGTTTTTGGAAGGGTTTTTTTTTGTTTGGTTTTTGTTTTGTTTTTGAGACAGGCTCTCACAAAGTCAATAAACTGTCCACACTAGGCTCAATTTTCTATCTTTTTGCCTCAGCTTCCCAGAGCACTGGAGGCACCACCACGCGCCCAGCTATGCCTGGCATTTGTGATGTGTGAACCACACCAGCATAGCAGGGTAAGGACAAACCTTTTCTGCAATTTTTCTTAAAATGTCTCAACTTATCCAGGTGTTGGCAGCACATAACTGTAGTCCCAGAACTCTGGGAGGTTGAGGCAGAAGTATTTCAAGCCGGAGCCCACCCTGGGCAACTTAGTGACATCCACTCTTAGAACTGGAAATAAAAACAGCTGGGTATGGCCTTGGGTTCTAACCCCAATCGTTGTGGGCCTGGCTGAAGACCCCATAACACATCACACAGGAGGGGGTGTGCGGTCTCCACACACGTGTGCCTCTCTCACAGAGTGCACAGATGTGCACTAATAGATCTTCAGAAGGGGCTTCTTGGGGGTGGGCATGGCCAGCACTTAGAAAGCACCAGGCCAGGCCACTCCAGTGGGGCCCAACGTCACAGGTGTGAGGGGCAGCGGGGATGCAGCACCCGAGCCAGGCGACATCAGCTCCACCAGGGAGCCTGCATACATGGCCTTTTTTTAAAAACTTTTTATTTCGAGACAGGATCTTAATAATTACAAAACTGCCCCAGACTGTGCTCAAACTTGGAATCCTCCTGCCTCAGACTCTACGCCTGGCCTGGATTTTCTATTTCTTTTTTTTTTTTTTTTCCAAAATATATTAAAGATTGAATCCAGGGGTCTTATACACGCCCCGCACTGAACTGTATCTCCAGCCCCAGTCCTTTATTCTGCAATGGAGTCCTGCTAAATTGCCTAGCCTGGCCTGGAAACTGGCAATCCTCCTGCCTCAGCCTCCACAGTAGCTAGGATTATAAGTGTGTGCCACCATGCCTGCTTCCACTTCTTCTTGAGTCAGTCACAGACTTCCTCCTACGAATCTGTCCCCCTCAGCTGACACATCTGGTGTTTTGGCACTGGATTGTTCATAGTACAATGACACCTCGCTTTTTGGATGGCTCCAAACCTGAACTTTTTTTTTTTTTTGGTACCGGAGATCGAACTCAGGACCTTGTGCTTGCAAGGCAGGTGGCAGAACCACTGAGCTAAATCCCCAGCCCCCAAACCTGAACTTTCCACCACTAGAACAGCAAAGTTTGAAAAAATCTGCTCTGTGTTCATAACATTGCTCCATAATCAAACCAAAAGTTCAACACAAGGGGGCGACGCTTCAGTCTAAGCACTGCTCTCACTCAAATTTTTAGTGAGAAAAGGTAAAAAATGACGGAGAGAGAAGACCCCAGAAAGTACAGCCAGGAGTCACTACGGAAGGAGACTCCTTCCAGAAACGGCAGTCTCCTCCTCCAATTTCGCTCCGCTTTCTGCTCTGCCGGGAAGCCTCAAGTCAAGGGGAAGGGCCCGGACAAATGTTCTTAAAATTGCACTTGCTGTATTGTTTGGACATTTAATGTACCATACTTACGGTGTTTAGCTGTTTTAGGGAGTATTTCCACAACCGAGGGCTGTTAACTGTGTTAAAGTTTGGGAAGAGTGAATTTACGTGTAATCGGGGGCCTCAGAGCCCATTATTTGGTTTCCTGTTACTTCTTATTGGAAAAACATGTTCAGTCCTTGAACTTTTCTGTGTCAAATACTAATGTGGAACAGACTGAGTTTGGCGAGCGAGGCACCACTGCATGGGCCTCTTCCTGAGAGGCCGGAGGAGTGCTCTCCGTTCCAGAGTTAGCCCTGCATCTCACCCTTGTCCTCGGCAGCCTGGCTGACCACTGGCTGGCCTGCCGATCCTCTCAAAGACCAGGCTTTGCTCTGGTCCCTTCTCTTCTTGTTTGCTTGGGCCTGGCCGTCGCTCTGGGGCAGAGGCGGAGGCCACTGGGCAGATGTGCGCACGGTGACCCTCACTTCACCTTCCCTCTTCCCCACGTGTCTGTAATGTCACTTGCTCTCCCCTTAACTACTCACCACTTACAGGGGTGCTGCTCATTAGTTTCCCAAGAGTTCCCCACCGACTCCTCACCCTGCCCCAAGCTGGAGAACCGACTGCAAAGTCAGCCCTACACTCTGCGAGACTGCGCTGTCCCCACACTGCTGCCCACCTTTCCAACCTCACTCTCTCCTCTGAACCAGGCAGAGCAATCAACAGTTTTCCTAACCGGCATTCCTGTGTCCAAGCCTACTATAAAAGCCAATCCCTGGCTGGGCAAAGTGGCGCACGCCTATGACACCACACTCAGGAGGCTGAGGCAGGAGGATCACTGTGCGTTGGAGGCTAGCCCGGGCTACACAGTGAGTTCAAGGCCAGTATATACTACACAGTGAGACCCTGTCTCAAAAACAAAAAAACAAACCTCAGCTGGGTGTGGTGACGCACGCCTGTAATCCCAGCATTCTTGAGAGGCTGAGGCAGGGGGATCACTATGAGTTCAGGGCCATCCTGGGCTACATAGTGAGTTCCAGGTCAGTCTCAACTACATAGTGAGACCCTGTCTCAAAAACAAAAAACAAATAAACAAAACAAAGCAAAAAAATAGCCTCAACCTCTGGCTGGACACTGTGGCTCACACCTGTCATCCCAGCACCCTAGGGAAGCTGAGACAGGCGTATCACCACAAATCCCAGCCTCAGCTACACAGTGAGACCTTGTCTCGAAAATAAAATAAAATAAAATGAAGTGAAATAAAAAAAAATTTAAACCCCAGCCTCTGAATCCAAAATGACTATTCTATTAATAAAAAGGAAATCAAGGCCGGGTGTGGTGGTGCATGCCTATTATCCCAGGAGGATCACTGTGAGTTTGAGGCCAGCCTGGGCTACACAGTGAGTTCAAGGCCAGCCTGAGCTACACAGGTAGATTCTGTCTCAAAAACCAAAAAAAAAAATCAATTACAGTAGTGAGAAGGCTGGGGCAGGAGGAACGTGAAGCATAAGGCCAGCCAGGACACACTCCAAGTTCAAGACCAGCCTGAGCTACACAGCCAGACCCAAGACCTGTCTGAAGAAAAAGAGAAACGGGCCAGGGATTTAGCTCAGTAGCACTGAGCCTTTTACGCGCAAGGGCTCAAATTCAAACCCCAGCACAAAAAAAAAAGAAAAAAAGGGAGAGATCGCAGGAAGTACCGACTGCCCCTAGGACACCTACAGCCTGAGAGCGCTTTGCAAACACGGAGGCCATCACCCTGGCTTACACCACTTCCTCCTCCCAGGTGGCCCAGCAGCACCCCGCTGGGCACAGCAGCTGGAAGTCACCCCAACACCTGGGGTGTGCCCTGGGCCCTCCTGTACCTCCTGGAAGAGCCTCGATGTCAGCAAGGCACAATGCCCCTGGCCTGGCACTGCCCCAGCTTCGGTGTGGCCCACAGTCTCCACACCACAGTGCCCTTTACAGCAAGGCCCACCCCATCCCCTCCTATAAACCCCAAAACCTCACCCGCCAGTCAGCCGCCTGCCCTCAGTCCTTCTCACTTGTGGCTAACCTCTCCTAATGAACCATGTAACCTTGTCTTCTCCAGCTCTATCCACTGAATACAAGCTCCAGAAGAGCACCAAATTTTGTCTGTTTTCTTCAGTGTTGCTATGGCTGTATCCCCCAAAGCCTCATGCAGGCACAGGTGGGGCTGCATCTAGAATGTGTGATGCTGGGATCGAGGGTGATTACTAAATCAGTCCACTGAGTGGATGGCATCGTTCTGGACAGGATTAATGGTGTCCCACCCTGGGTATGAGTGCAACCCACCCTAAGGGCAGGAAGCCTGGATAAAACACAAGGGACAGAAGGAGGGTCATTGCTTGTCACTTGCTCCCCTCTGCCCTCTGCCTGTCATTAGCTATTTCTCCTCTACAATGCCATTCTGCCATGCCACCCTGGCTTAGAGTCATCTGACTTAAGAACTGAAACCTCTACAAACTGTGAGCCAAATAAACCTTTCCTCCTTTAACTGTGGGTGTTGGGTATTTTGTTACAACAATGAGAAAAGTAACTAAGCAGCTATCATCCCAGAACCCAGGGCAGTGCCTAGCACTGCAGCTGGTCCTCAGTAGACCCCTGCGAATAGAACAAACATGTAATTCAGATGCGATAAGCAATCATTATTAAAACAGATGTGAGAAGAAATAGCTACAAAATGAAAAGGATGAACTCTGAGATTTAGGAATGGGGAAAGATAGAGCAATGTTTTATGATTCACTTCATAGACTACATTCTTTATGTTTTTGTCTTAAACACATAAATAAGAGAAGACAAGAAAATAACAAAATTCATGCTATGAGAAGGCCTGGCCAATGACTGACTCTGGGGCTATGCAGCTGAGGCAGCACACATGATGAGCCAATCAGGCCCTGCATCCCATCCTCAAGAAGAGGGTGAACAAACTGAAAATGAGCAGTCAACTGCTGAGGAACAGGCCGAGAAGCCAGCAAACATAACACTGCCCAAGGACAGTGGCTCTCTCGGGGGACTTGGATGCATCACACCAACATCTGGGGCTGATGCTGGTCCTCCACTCATAAGAGCGTGAATACCACAGGGGCCACATGACAACCAGGTGCTCAGCATGTCCCTGGCCACTGCCGGACCTCACAGGAGGGCATGCAGCAAGGGCGTGGGACAGGAAGGGGCTACCAGCCACACGCCCCAGACACAGAGACTCGACCTGGCCACCAGAGGCATGGTGGCCGGGGTACCACGCCTGCCACATCCTGCTACACGTTTTCTGAGGTGCATGACCTCTATAGCCCACCTGCCCTCATTCTCTGACCCACCTCTAGGTGGCTCAGTTTCCTCACCTGTCCTAAGTACTCAACTCCAGTCCACCCCAACAGAGTAGTCGGTGGAATTCTCTCAAGTGCCCGTCCTGCTCCACTGCCTGACCCCAAGTTGCAAGGCCCTCACTTCACTCCTCAGCTCCGCTCCCCACCTGCCCTGTAGCTGCTACCATGCTCCACAGCACCTGACACAGGGGCTGATGTGTCCCACTGCCTCTCCACTAGGACATCAGCCCAGGAGGGCAGCTCCTCTTTTTTTTTTTTTTCCATTAAGCTTACTGGTACATTTTAGGTATACAATGTGATGACATTCATCATTGGGCATTTGTACCTTTACATGACTTATCTTGGTTCTTAGTTTTCCCCCATTCCTCTGCCCTCCCTTCACCCCCCCACTATTTACAAAGACTTTGTTTCCATTTTTTCCTTTTCTCATATTTTTTCTTTTCCTTTCTTTCCTTTTCCCTACCCCTCCCACTTCCCCTACTCCTTTAGACCTTTTCTTCCTATTTCACATTATCAATTACACATTTCAATCCCTATTTACACTTTGAGTTTTTTCACACCAGAGAAACTATTTGGTATTTACACATTTGGCCTATTTATTTCACTGAAAGAGTATGGCATCAGATGTGCATCCATTTAGCTTTAAATGTCTCTAGTTTCTTGTTCTTTATGGCTGAGCAGTACTTTATTTTATAAAAAACAAAACAAAACAAAACGCTCATCTTCTTTATCCAGTCTCCAGCTGATGGGCATTTGGGCTGTTTCCAAGTTTTAGCTATTACAAACTGTGCCACTATAAACATGGGTGCACATATATCACTGTGGTATGATTCTTTTAATTCTTTTGGGAAAATACCTAGCAGAGGAATAGTTGGGTCAAACAGGACCTCTAATCCTAGCGTTTTTGGGTAACTCCAAACTGATTTCCACAGTGGTCTGCACTCCTACCAACAGTGGAGCAGGGTTCTTTTTTCCCCCCAGCCCCACGAGTATTTGTCACTGGTTGATTTCTTCATAGCAGCCACTCTTTCCAGGGTGAGGTGGAATCTCAGCATTGTTTTCATCTGCATCTCTAAACTGACCAGTGATGCTGAACAATTTTTCATATGTTTATTTGCTGCTTTTAGTTGTTTGTCTACGAAATGTCTGTTCATTTCAGGGCAGCTATTTTTGTCTACTTATTCAATGCACAAAGCAAGCACTCAGAAAACTTGTTGGACCAATAAGTTCACCTTTAAAAAATATACCAGATGTGGTGGTGCACGCCTGTAATCCCAGCACTCAGGAGGCTGAGGCAGGAGGATCTCTGTGAGTTCGAGACCAGCCTGAGCTACATAAGTGAGTTCCAGGTCAGTCTCAACTACATAGTGAGACCCTGTCTCAAAAAAAATAAATAAAATAAAATAAAGCCAGGTGTGGAGGCACATGCTGGTAATGCTCACACTCGAGAAGCTAAGGCAGAAGGGACCACAAGTTCAAGACCAGCCCAAGACCCTGTCTGAAGAAGAACCCAACTCTCCTGAGCCCTTTGGGATGGGCTGGATGCGCCTGCCATGCACCTCACTCTCTCTGGCAGAGGGTCCCCAAGGTGGCACGTCAGGAGACAGCGGCCCTGGCCAGCAGAGCCTCTGGAGCCGAGAGCTCCCTGCTGAGGGCTTCCTGCCATACCTGCTGCCCGAGGGCCCCTCTCCCGGGGATGCGTCCTCTCGGCGCCCATCATCGCGGCTGCAGACCACTTCCTGCTCCTGATGCCTCTCCCTGCTTCACCTCTCCATGGTGGATGGAGGTGCACAGGTAAGCATTCCCACATGCACTTGGTCCATCTGTTCACATGATGATTTCAGTTCTAAAAGTAGAGGCTCTGCCCACAGGGTGACCACTGAGTCCCAAGTGCCATGATGACGTCTGCGCACAGCAAGCTAGAGAGACTGGGAACAGACGCACACAGGGAATGCAGCATCCAGCCCTTGAGGGCACTGCTCAGTATCGGGCAGCATCAGAGGCAAGCGCAAAGTAAGAGCCCAGCACAGGCCCTTTTTGTGGGGGAGAGCATCTCACTATGGAGTTCAGGCTGGCCTCAAACTCGCTGCACTCCTCCTGCCTCAGCTTCCAAAACGCTAGGGTTACAAGCATGCGCCACCTCACCTAGCTCCAGCTCTCAGTTCTGAGCAAGGGCAGAGCACCCAGGCTGTACAAAGCTAAGTAACAAATCCCTCTTTTGAACTTGCATTAACTGAACACAGAGCACAAGTTACTCAGAAGTAGCAAGGTGGGGAATCTGAGGGGAGGAGGAGCAGGCACTTGTGCATGGACACAGCTCCCATGCAGCCCTGACTGCCAGCAACGCCAGCCACAGCCCTATAGGTCAAAGGCAGCCTCTGATCTGGTGAACCGCACAGGACAAAAGGGATTCTTGTTTTTTTTCTTTTTGGTACAAGGAATCAAACTCATGGCCTCACGAGCCGCTGAGTTACATTCCCAGCCCCCAAAAGGGGTTTCTACAAAATGGGAAGGGCTCAGGAAGTTCTCTGCAGCGCTCACTTCCATCTTCCCCTGGTCTACCATTAACCTAGCTCAGTCTGAGTGAAACTTTTAGTGCTTTCAACGATACAAACAGCCCACCGGGCACACGGGCCACAGGTTCGCCACTACTGACCCCGCACCTTTTCATGCCATGGAAGCCGTAAGGGAACCACACACTCGCTGTCCCACCTGCATCATGTGAAGCAAGCACAGCCAGCATAGTCACCAGGGAGCTCCGAGGCTCAGGAAGCCTAAGCCACTCCTCCTGTCCACACCAGAGAAAACACCTGCACCGCCCACAGGAACCAGGGGCACGGGCCAAGCGAGGGGTGGGGAGCAGAACGGCAAGGGGAGAGCATCGCGGGCACAGGACAAGCCGACACAGAACTATCACAGTCCTCATCAGGTTCACTCCAGGGGACCCCGGGGGCCACTTGTGCAGAGGTAGGGAGGAAAGTGAGGGAACCAGGGCCTGACTGCACCACGCTGCAGGCTTCTTCACCCAGCCCACAGCACCTCCTGCTCCCTCTGGAACACAGGCAGAGGTGGAACACAGGTTGCTGCCCTGCCAACTCCGCGTGCCCACCACACAAGGAAGCCGTGCTGACCCCACTCCCAGCTCCGTCACAGCTCAGCACAGCCTCTCTCCAGCAGCAATGCTAAGGAAAAGGCGGAGGGTGGGTGGGAAGTGAGGTCTCCACATCTGTCTGTCTTGGGACCGTCAGACCTCAGTGATAGCGTGACGATGACCTCCCTGCCCCCACTCCAAGGCTGCCCTTCGCAGTGAGGCTGCTGCCTGCTCACACCCTGGTGGAAGCGCACAACTTGCCCCACCAACAGCTTGGCTCCCCCCTTGACTTGGAGCACACACCTGACCCCAGCATCGGAGAGATTCTCAGCCAGAACTGCACACATACTACTGCTTTTCAGGACACTGAAGCCTTGTCTGCTCTCACACCAGGACCAGCAAGGCTCTGAGGAGGAAACACTGCCATAAGCTGCACACACAGCATCATAACCTAAATAAGGAGCACATGGCCTAGTAAAATTGTTCACTTGTGTTTTTGGTTTTTTGTTGTTGCTGTTGTTTTTTAGTACCAGGGATCAAACTCAGGACCTTGTATTTGTAAGACAGGTGTGGCACCCCTGAGCTAAATCCCCCGCCCCCTGTCTTGTTTTATGTTTAAGACAGGTCCTCGCTATGTAATTCAGGCTGGCCTGAAATTCACTTTGTAACCCAAGCTGGCTTGAACTCACTTCCTCAGCCTCCTGAGTGCTGGGATCACAAGTGTGCACCACTACGCCTGGCTTGTTCATTTGTTTTTTAAGTGAGTGTCATTCAATATCTTTTTTTTTTCAGTTTTTTGAGACAGGGTCTCACTATGCAGTTGAGACTGACCTGGAACTCACTATGTAGCCCAGGCTGGTCTCAAACTTGCAGCAATCCTCCTGCCTCAGCCTCCCAAGTGTTGGTATTACAGGTGTGCACCACCAAGCCCAGCTTCAATACATTTTTCTTTAAGCTGGGGAAAAAATTATTTAACTTACTCTATATGCACTAGAAGCCAAAAGAAACCACTCAACTTTCCACCTTCAAAATATGGAATTTTAACATCAAACCCTGGAGGGTCTTCTATCAGGCCAGACCCGCACTGAGCAGGCTCTGGGGACACAGTGAAAGGGACCTCACTTTATCACAAGGGCCCGGGCAGCCCAATACACTTTAAAGAGTAATGCTCCACAGGCCAGACAGTGGCACAGTTAGTCGTCAGTGGACGTCCAAGTGCTCATGCATCTCTACTATTTCTCTACTTCCCCTGGGAGTCCCCACCACCGGGGGTGAGGGCCACCTTGTCCCTCCACAGTCACCCGCCCTCTAAGCCCAGGCATGCAGTCCTGGGTGGGACACAAGCAGGAGATGACTCGGGAAGGAGCTCAGCTTTTCCTTGGGTTCATCGGTCCTCCTGAGCCCCACATCTAAACCCAGGCAAATGTGTTCCAGAATCAAAGGCTCAGACTCTGGAGGAAGCAGCGTGTCATCCCTGTGTCCTCACTCCTGTCCACAGCCCAGAGCCGTGCTATGGAGAACAAATCTGCAGTCTCCACACCCCAGCGTTTTTGCCAAGCCGATCAACCACAGACTTGCAGGCAGAGTTCTGGGCTCAGAACCTTCTGAGTTCTACGATGAGCTGCGGCACACGTAGGGTGGTCAGGAGGAACAGAGTCAGCACACACATTCCTGTAAACCTCCCCCAAACAGTTCTCTGCATCTCTGCAGATGATTCATCTGACGCTTTCAAGAGATGAGGAAATGCCACTTAACCCCTCAAAGATGGCCTTTGCAAGAACAATGACTTCGAACCCTCATGCCAATGCCACCAATGCAGCAGCATGGGGACCACCCCAGGAAACAGCCATGGCCCCAAGAACCCAACACGGGACTTCACCATCCTTGGGAGGAGCCAGGAAGAGACGCTTCAAGGAACATGGACATTTCCTGAAGCTAAACTACCTCAGAGTCAGAGGAGCCCAGCTGGAGCAGGGCCCGCCCTCCACATCCCAGCCTTACCCTTCACTGTTTACTTCCCAAATCGCCTTCTACAGAAGTGAATTATGCAGAAGAGCATAAAAGAAAACATGCAAGGAGAGCATTCTTTTTCAAAAATCAGCACTTTTTAAGTGGACAGTCAGGAAAGACAAAATGCACTTTGGACTTTGAAGGTTTTTTTAAACATTCAACAACAGCTGGATGCAGTGGTGCATGCCTATAATCCCAGGAGTCTGGGAAGCTGAGGCAGGAGGATCACAAGTTCAAGCCTAGCCTGGGCAACTTAGAGAGTCCCTTTCTCAATATAAAATTTTTAAAGGGCTGGACATGTGGCTTAGTGCCATATTAAAAAATAATAATAACAGGCTGCCAAAGTCTGATTTTGTCTTTACCTCTCTGCAGGAAAACCAAGTATGCACTTCGTGTTTAATTCTTATACCAAAGCTTATACAGATTTTGAATTTTTATATTCCATTACTCCCTGTCCAGTTGATGACTAATAACAACTGGAACTTTATGAGCAAACAAATGTTTTAAACTTTAGTCATGCTACAGTGCAATTCAAATGGCATCCGATTCTAGCAGTCAGAGACAGACTGCAATGCAGCAAGCAGAACAACCTCAACCCTGCACCTAGTCAGAACTGCACTGCCTTCCCCAGAAACGGAGCGCTCCCACCTCAAGTCACCTGATGGAGTCGGTGCCTCTACACCGCTGGACGCAGCCAGCCTCGTGCCCGGAGCCCCAGCCCCAAACTGGAATATATAGCAATGTGTGCAACTTCCTGCCCACTGCAACTCAACTATCTCACAGCCACCTACCCCTCTACCCTCCTGCGCAGCCCTGACTGCTCTGCCAGTCAGATGCTCAGCTGCTGACAGGACTGCACCCTAACAGGATGAGAAGACAGCACCCTGTCTGTCCTGGGGGCGGCTGGGCTGACTGGGACCTATGCCTCGCTGCAATCCCCAGTACATGATGGCTAGCCCAGGAAGATCAAACTCAAAGAAGGCTTCTACCAAACATGCATCCCTCTGAAACATCATGTCAAAAAGGTTAAGTCAAACTACTGTGCATCAAGGACCACAGTACTCCAGCCACATTCCAGTGCTAGGACGTCAGCAGCAGCGTCTGAGACATCCGCCAGGGCCAGGTGCAGCCAGTGCTGAGCATCTGCCTAGCTTGTATGAGGCCCTGGGTTCCATCCCCAGCACTGCCAAAAAAAAGACATGTCCTAATTAAGTTATAGATCATTCTCCTGCCAGGATATCACTGGTGTAAAGGCAAACAGAAGTTCCAAAATAACTGAATAGTAAATAACTGTTATTTTCCCAATGTCAACAGCTCTTTTGTTTCTTTGGAATCCTTTGCTTGAATACAACACCAACCAACTCAACAGCCCAGATGGATCTCCAGGGGACTGCAATGAGCAGGAAAGCCACTTTCAGAAGATCACATATTACACAGTTCCATTATATGACATCCTTGCAATCACAAAATTACAGATCTGGAGAACAGATGAGTGGTTGCCAGGGCAGGAGCAGTAGCTGTAGCTGTAGCTGTAGCTGTAGCTACCAAGGCTGGCACAGGGTGATGATGGGTAGCCTGTACTGCAACTCATGTGGGAGTCATACAAACCTATGTGTGCTAAAAATCCCACA